TACCATCCAAGTCTCATCACTGTAAAATTCATTTAACTGAAAAAAAAGTGTTCTTGTAAACCTTCATAACTCACAATGTAAGCTGTAATGTTTATGTCATACATTCATGCTATTCATGTACAGTGTGTCCTGTAGAAAAAGAAGAGGTCAATGGGATCTGTAATTCTATACTATTACAACAACATGAATATTTACACAAGCGTTTTACGCAAAACAGGTCTTAGTAAATTTTTTTGTTTAAGTCAACTCATGATACTTGTCACATTGAAAAAACAAGCATAAGTTACTCGAAGGAAGCATTTAACTATATTCAACTATAGCTAATATATATATTTTCACAACAGAAATATTTTGTACTATTTTGTGCTCCAGGCCAAGGTATCACCCTTCATGCACCTTAAATATGTCAATCTAGAACCATTTACTTCACTCAAGTACATGATCAATGAACTTCAGCTACAGGTTTTCACTTTACTAGTGGTGTGAGTGAAGTATTTCATTATATATATCACAAATGTATGAATATTATGTGAAAAGTTACTCTTTAAAAAAAATTTAAGAATACAATACATGACTTTCTGCCCAATGTCTGGGACATAAATTCCAAGTGTCGCCAACTTTCCGGATTTTAGCTGGTCAATGTCATATATACCCGGTAATTTGCCATATCATGACCTGATCAAGTGATCAGTAACTAAAGTTTCAAATTCATTTTTTGAATACAGTTATATATTCAAATTCATATTCAAACATAGTCCATCATCTAAATATATACAGATGTGATAACTACACAAATGAACTGATTATAAGATCTTCTTAACTGATGACCTTTTAAAACACTGTCACCCTTGATTTTGAAGGCAATGACCAGATAGTATTTGACAAGAGGTTAGCAACATTGCAAATTAAACTGATAAAAACAATGAAAAAATGTCCATCGTGGTACTTTTTCATTATGAGAATACTTATGGGTATAATAAAGGATTCTCAACATCCGAGAAGCTGTCCTTTTATTCCTATAAGTGTATCATCGACATGTTTCAACCACTAAATGCAGCCATCATTAGGATGATGGTAACAAAAACAAATACATTAAACTAAGGAACAATCTGCAGTTAACAAAACATGATGTCATAATGGACAATATATAGGAGTGAAAATTATCTTATTGGAAAGTTAAGTAAAATTATCTAGAGGATTTAAAATTGTCATAAAAACTATATACAGAAATAGTTTCATCAATAAAATGTGCAGGTTTCACATCTAGTTACAGTGCGTCATCTTGTAGGCAGTTAGCTAGGTAGTCCAGTTGATGCTGTTTTCCCTGCATACTTTTTAGTGCAGTGGGTACATTTTGTTTAAGGCTTAGTTCTCCTTCTGAGGTATCATTTTGTGGTGCTTACTGGATGTCGAGAATCCTTTATGTATAAGTCAATTACATAGCAAGGATCTCTATTGAATATAACATGGTGTCCATTCAGGGACATTTCCTAGACATCTAGAGTGTTGGTTTTCACTATTTGGGTTTTCTCATATGAGAATACGTGTAGAATTTGAAAGCATTTCATCATGAAAATTCTTGTGGAAGTTGAAATAGTTGAAACGTTTGATTTTTCTTTCTTCAGACATATTTGCTTCCAAAACTTTATGGTATAATGATAGAATTAAAGTCTTTTGAACCCCTGCATACAAGATTCAGAGAAGGGAAATAACTCCCCCACAATTATAACTCCTAAGGTATTATAGACTGGGATTAGTTGAGCTTAAACTAGAAGTCTAGTATATATAAATTTGTCATTATTGTGGCTTTCATACCAATCTACACATACATCAGTAGCTATTTATGGTGAAAGAAAGTTAGTCTCCCGACATATAATACACATCTTTTTAGTAGACTTGTAGCTGACTGATTTAGATCTGTGACAAAATTTTATTTCACACAATTTACACACATATAAAACATCACCATTACCTATAATATATATATCAATTAAACAGTTCAAAAGTCTTTGACCAGAATATGATAGAGCTGAAATCCTTTCAATTAGAAAAGTGGGTGTACATGTATCATTTACGTAGTATTTATGTATCTATACAAATATCTTTCCTAAGGCTAGACACATTAATATCAAATTAATCATACCTCTGATATCAACAATTTCCTTTTAACTTTTTAAGATATATATGATGTGCATAAATACAAATTAACCTTCCTCAAGGTAAACCACAACTGTAACAAATATGTACATCATTCAAAATGTTGACGTAGAAACCAAAGTTGTACTAATGTATACAGGCAGATGATGGCTTTATAAGCCAACACTTAAGTTGAAAATATATGCAGCACAATGCAGAAATATAAAAACAATTGTTTTGATTAAGCACGAAAATTATTTGATTGACAATTCAAATATCTTAAATACATTCATTCATTTTTTATACTACAGAAGTATAGAAAACATGGTATGAAAAAAACCCCAAGGAGATCACAGAGGGAACTTGGTGTCCACCATTGTTTGATCTTTATTTGTTCTTTGAAAGTTACATCTTTTCCCTTCCTTTCTCTTCACATCTCTGTTTTTGCTCTTAATGATAAGACATTTGAACATTCAGAAGTTGTGATGACAATCTTTACCTGCCAAATTCAAAATGGCTGCCTGAAAGCCATTTTGCTTCTTCTGATCAGTCCTAAAATCAAATAGGCACAAGGAGAGACCAAAGGGAACATACATATGAAATTTGTGAGATTTCCATTCTGCACTTATTAAGAAATAGAGATAACAATCTTTACTAAGTGAAATTGAAGATGCCCGCTTGTGGGCCATTTTGCTTTTTTCTGATCAGTACCTAAATCAAACAGACACAACTAAGGATCAAGGGAAACATACACATGAAATTTGAAAAAAAACTTTGATTCAGCATTTCTCAAGAAATAGCGATAACAAACTTTCACAGTTAAAATCAAAGATGGATGCCTTTCTGCGATTTTGTTTTTCTTATCAGACCCAAAATCAAACAGTCACAACTAGCGACCAAGGGGAACCTATTTACAAAATTTATCAGAGATCCTTCACAGACTTTTCAAGAAATAGCGATAACAAACATTCAAAGTCAAAATGAAAGATGGCCACCTCTCAGCAATTTCATTTTTTCTGATCAGACCTAAAATCAAAATGACACAACTACTGACCAAAAGGAATCTACATTTGAAATTCTTAGATAGATCCATCAAGTGCTTCTCAAGAAATAGCGATAACAATCTTTCAAAGTCAAAATCCTACACTGCTGTCTGTCATCCATTTTGTTTTTCTAATCAGTCTCAAAATTACATGGGCAAAACTGGAGACCAGGGGAAACCAACATATGAATTTGAGAAAGATCCATCTTTTCCTTTACAACAAATAGCGACAACAAATTTCACTGAAAAAATTCAAGATGGCTGTAAGCCATTTTTTTTTTAATCAGTCCCAATATCAAATGGGCACAACTGGGGACCAAGGGGAACATACAAATGTAATTTGAAAAAGATCCATCCTGAACTCAAGAAATAGCAATAATAAAAATTGCTTACGGACGGACCACGGATGCAGAGCAATCTGAATAGCCCATCATCTGATGTTGGTGGGCTTAAAATGGAGTAAGCTATACTGTTCACAAAATTCAATATCAGAAAATTTATAGGAAAATAATACCGTACTTTACATACATATTCCTAAATAACAATGAATCATAAGTACAAGTCTGTTAACAGGTAACATATTTCACACTTAATCATTATTCACCTCTGTTCAACAATATCATGAAGTCAATGACTAATTAATGTTTAAAACTTCATCTATCTGGTCTTGTGCTTGCTGACATTTATGGAGATGATTTAGCTTTGTTATACATTAGATATTTTAATTACAAAATTGAAAATCAATAAGGTGATCAGGATGTTTTAAGTACAAATTAAAATGTACATGTATTCTGTAGAACCAAAGGCTTATTTAATTACCATCCCCCTGGAGACACTGCTTAGACAATTATACACAAGTCTTTGATGTAAATCCTATGATCATGCAGCTCATCCAATTAGTGAGTCACATCATGAACTTCGAACCAAGTCTGTGATCATATGAAGATGATAACCATAAAATGGTCTAAGAAGGGCTTTTCTAAAACAGTAAAATTGTCACTATTTAAAGTTTCATTTTCTGAGTTTTCAGCCTTTATTAAAGAAATATAAACATAATTGTTTGCCCTTGTCCATCAATTTTTAGTTTAGATAAAGATTTTGTTAACTTGTTTGCATTTTTCTTGTTCACAAAATACTTATTCAACATATATGTCGCTTTTAGTTATGTCCACATTCAGATGTGGTTTGTCACACTAGTTGACACATTTACAATTCTCTTAACTTGGCTGAATCAATGCAGCAATCTAAGTTATGCAACTTGCAGTGTGACAGATATTTCATAAGTTTACATTCAATTTCAAATGTGAAAAAAATAATTTGTATATGACTGTCTTTCATTAGTAAATGCCAAGCAGTTATTCTGAATCATAAAGCATACACAATTGTACACTGTATACACAGCTCTGAACTTAAAAGAAGTTTTCAAATAAATACAAGTTCAATATCTTTGAAGAACAGATTTTACTGTTCAAATATCTTTGCAAAACAACAATTTGATAATAAAGTACTCTTATAGGTAGTGCTGGTACATTAATTTGAGTTGACATTTATGTGATCTATGAATGACAACCAGATATTTCAAGGGCATAATTTAATGAAGCATGCATGCCAGTGCCTTTAAAAAATTATCCAAATGGCATTCACACCATCCAACTAAAATCAATTCCATGCTAATCTTGTTATCATGGGAGGTAACATCAATTTACTTCCACTACTTGCAGTACTCCTAGTTTGCTGATAGATCATGAGTTGTTAATTAATACATCCGACTTTGGTAATATAACACCATTGCAAATATTTTATACGTACAGCTTATACATACCTACAGCTTCACCGATCATAAACAATGCACACAGAACACAAACAGCAATAAGTTGGTTCCTGGCAAGTTTATCATACTCAGGTTTGACTAACGTATGACAGTGCCATTCTGATATTTCAGAATTAGATCTTGTTCCATTTACAGCATAACTGGACATTCCCAGATCTGCTTCCAGATCATCATCACTACTAAAAGATCTTAATGTTCTGTTGTTGTTTCTCACATGTGTTTCAGACTGAGACTCATCAGGCCTTTCATTCATATGTAAATTGTCTACTCGAATTTTATCACTAACATTATCCGATTTCAGGTGTCCATTCGGTACATGATTTGAGATTGTACCATGGGCACGCTTGAAATTTTCTAGTACCCTTTTACTTTGAGTCATATCGGTTTCTGGTATCATATTAAGCTCCAGATCGAGTTTGTTTATATCTGTGGCATCAAACTCCTCTAAAATAGCTAACAGAGAGTCCTCAGACATCGATCTTAAGTCCTGATGTGTGTTTTGCTGAATAGAAACCTCGGAGGGAAATTGAAGCCTTGGTGTCGTCTGTATGTTATTGCCAATACTGGACAAGTTGTTATCATTTGGAGGATAAGTGGCAACTTCGAATGGCCACGTCCGGTTATTTCTGTCTAATAAAGCTGTGTCAATACGTTGTCCTTCTTGTATGTAAGGATCCGCACTGAAATCAGAGTCAATATGCTCGCTCGATGCGGCACTTACAAATGGGCCAATTTCGGACTCGTGCTTGTTTACATCTTCATGCTGTTCAAGAGAACTGTTACTCACGGAGTGTACAGTCGTTTTGTGTGATACGCCTGTCTTAGGCCTAATGCTGCGTTCATTACGTAGACCAATGGTGTATTGCTCGCTCGAGCCTTCAGCTGTAAGGCTATTAATATCCGACACATCCCACCCACTGCTATCATCGACGAACACACTTGCTGCCATTTTACTTTCTCACAAAATCACGTGGTATATCATGTGACATCATATGGGGGTTTCCCGTCTGCTAGTATGATTCTTACTATATATTTTGGATGTTTTTAGTGAGTTGTTTAGATGATCTGTCATGTTCTCAGTAAAGTATATACGTTACAATACGCATATGAGTAAATGGAAATATCAAATCAATAAAGTAGTAATTTCAATGTATCACTGATATATAAAAAAATCAATCATTCAGTGATAAGGGAGATAACTCCTACTATTAAAAAACCTTTACATTTGACAAGGGACCCGACGCTCAGCTGCTACCCAAATATTGAGAACATGACTATCAAGAAACTCGTGTATTTTTTATCGCCAGAGTGATATTAAAGTAGCTCTCGGTTATGGTTTGCATACGGTAACTCATACACTTTTGCTTGATTTTGCTGGAAATCTATTGCAAAGATAGGTCAGCACAAAAAATTAGGTGTTATAGGATAAATCGCCCTCCCCCGTTCAATATTTAAAGTTGAAAAAGATCCCAGATCGAGTTTTCACGCAGGATGGTGTTATTTTAGGAAATAATGGCAAGGCAATTATATGCTATTTCCTATAAGCTGTCCTTTTCTAACCTGGATTTTTACCTGAGATTTACATGTGTTTCTCACAACCCATCTTCATATGATTGAGATATTAAACTAAATACATGAATTTCATTTGATGAAAAATACTGAATAATCTGACTTCACTTAGCACTAAAATACATATAAATAAATTAAATAATTATGTTGGACGATTTAGCACTATATTCTAACATATTTCTAAACTCATTATAAAATGAAGAGAATAGAAAAGAATCTGAAAGAAAACTAGAGTATTTGAAATAAAAACAAATGTACCTGAAATAAAACTAGAGTATTTCAAATAAAAACAAATGTACCTGAAATAAAACTAGAGTATTTCAAATAAAAACAAATGTACCTGAAATAAAACTAGAGTATTTGAAATAAAAACAAATGTACCTGAAATAAAACTAGAGTATTTGAAATAAAAACAAATGTACCTGAAATAAAACTAGAGTATTTGAAATAAAAACAAATGTACCTGAAATAAAACTAGAGTATTTGAAATAAAAACAAATGTACCTGAAATAAAACTAGAGTATTTCAAATAAAAACAAATGTACCTGAAATAAAACTAGAGTATTTGAAATAAAAACAAATGTACCTGAAATAAAACTAGAGTATTTGAAATAAGAACAAATGTACCTGAAATAAAACTAGAGTATTTGAAATAAAAACAAATGTACCTGAAATAAAACTAGAGTATTTGAAATAAAAACAAATGTACCTGAAATAAAACTAGAGTATTTCAAATAAAAACAAATGTACCTGAAATAAAACTAGAGTATTTCAAATAAAAACAAATGTACCTGAAATAAAACTAGAGTATTTGAAATAAGAACAAATGTACCTGAAATAAAACTAGAGTATTTCAAATAAAAACAAATGTACCTGAAATAAAACTAGAGTATTTGAAATAAAAACAAATGTACCTGAAATAAAACTAGAGTATTTCAAATAAAAACAAATGTACCTGAAATAAAACTAGAGTAAGAACAAATGTACCTGAAATAAAACTAGAGTATTTCAAATAAAAACAAATGTACCTGAAATAAAACTGGAGAATTTTAAACAAAGAGAAAAAATGTCAAATATTGGTAAAGAACGTGTAGTTTTTCTGGTAATTGTTATGAAGTCTAAGAATTTATCAATGAGAAATGATTAATAGTCATTTCAGTTTCATTTAATTTGATTAACTTTTGGCCCATGGGTCCATCAATACATCACGTGTACACAAACACAAGGTACAATGTATATGTGAATAAAGCCAATAATCTATGATTCGTTAAATATTTGTTTAAATTTTAAAATTATCATAAATATTACATTCAAAATAAAACAAAAATCAAGACATTCAAACATTTCACAAGATACATCAAATAGGTTTCTTCGTATTTAATAAGGTTATAGAGAATAAAATTTTAAATGTGACTATTGTTTAAACATTTTTATTTTGAATTGTTGACTATATTCACATAATTAAATATAAAGTTAACTGTCAAGGGAGTTCATCAGACATAAGGCGTTTTAATCATTATCAGCCGAGACCGACAAATGACTTAAACATTGATGACCAGCGAAATTTGTCTGATGTAAGCCTTGGTAGGGCAATGCACACGAAGTTATGGCTACCCACAGTCACGCAAAAATGACCACCGAAATTTTGTCTGGTGTAAGCCTTGGTAGGGCAATGCACACGAAGTTATGGCTACCCACAGTCACGCACAAATGACCACCGAAATTTTGTCTGGTGTAAGCCTTGGTAGGGCAATGCACACGAAGGTATGGATATACGCAGTCACGCACAATCACGCCACAGTTATTACAATACACACTTCCTTTACCAATGTAAAAACAATATCCGGTACACCAAACAGTGTAAAACATGATACCAATAAAACAATGATAGTAGCCCTCTGTTATGTATTTACAATGAAGTAAAAGTATAAATTTATAGAAAGAACATAATATCGATATTCTATCTATTTACGTTCTCATGCAGAGTAAATCTGATAAGTTCTGATGTAGTCGAGGTGATCCTTGTGTAATTGTAGATAAAGCATACACACATTTAACACCTCTCTGTTGTCTTGTTCTCACACCAATTAACATAATAAAACTGAAAATTGCGAAACGGAAGATTTTGATATTTAATATGAAAGGACAAACATTATAATATTCATCACTATTTGTTTTCTTAATGTTTCTGACAGCAGTTTTTTCAGTCAAGTGTTGATGGAACTGCACATCTTAGATACAGATATATTTACATGATTGAACACCTGAATGAACATTTCTGACGCCTTATTTTCCACTTCCTCTCGTATTCCTCAACATCACGAAGGTACGATAGCGGCGGCCATTGATTCACTTCAATATAGATTCTATTTTCTTCGTTCAGCGACGATAATTCCACCCGATTCTTCAATGCTGTATAGTTTGTAGAGATGAAATGAAGACACCATCTAGACAGCTGCTCTGCATTGTAATCCTGTCAAAATACATTCAAATACTGATATTTAAACAGAATTATTGCGGGACTATTTTTAATGAGGGGTTTCATTAGATCGAAATAAAGAATGATAACTTAAAATAGTACATTAAAACTGCGCCTTTTATATGAAATATCATCAAATTTGATGCTAATGACGACATATATCAACATATCTTTACCTGTGATGACTGTAAAAGTCCGATGACATCGATGTCTGCTTTTTCTATAGTCTTTATCACACTTTTGTTGACTTCCTTAGTTACATGTAATTCACACAGATTCGTGAGACGTTTAAGACCGTATTTATCCGCCAGAACAATGAGTGATATCACATCAGTCTGTTCAATAGGTGCCTGGTCGGTGTAGAGATATTCCAAAAGAGCCAAGAAACATTCCGACGTTGTAGCTTGGATATCAATCTACACCATTAAAACAACAAAATGTATTAGAAACATTTACTGTATTAACATGCTCAAACATTTATATGCAGTTATAAGCATTTTAACTGTACGACTTTGAGGTTTTGATGTCAATTACACCTACCTCGAGTATGCTTGATTGGTCTTTCACACAGCTACCTTGAATCGTAACCGCCATGTTTTTGCATCTGGCAGTTAAGACACTTTTATGAGCATAAACATTTCTTCCTGAAACAATATGATATATACGATCTGTTCTTACATTATGTAATTGACAATGTTACTGGACTTTAGATCCCCGTCCCCAGTATGCCACGTTTCGGTTTCATTAGGATAGTAGCAAGGTTAAGAATATAAACTTGTACTTAATGTTGTTATAAAATCATCTGATATATGGAAACAACGTAATTTGTTGCATAATCGGGCTGCTGCACTTCCCTATCTACATTTTGACTTTTGTTTGGACAACTTTCGATTTTCCTCAGTCGCCTCCAAGGCTTCAAAATTTAGGTCCTTTTCGTCAATAACGAGTCCTTGAAGGACGAAACAGCTGTATGATGCAGCATCACTGACGAGTCCTAGAAGGACGAAACAGCTGTATGATGCAGTTTAATTCATTGTTTGGCTGTAATGTATGTAACTCTAAATTTGTATTGAAAGACGCTATTCAATTGCGTGTCTTTTGTACAATATCAATTGGTATAAGCAATTCTTATTTTCATCTCAAACTTCAATAGACCAGTAATGGGCATTAGTATAGCAAAATATAATTCACGAATTTAGAGCTGAAATGTTTGGCAGACGAAGTTAAAAAGAAAAAAAGGCAGGAAGAAATTCAAAGATTTCTTTAAAAATCCCCGATTCAACAATAACATTCAGGAAGCAGCATTGTGACTTACGGTAAAGAGTTTGGAAGCGAGGTATGAAAAATGTTACACAGGAGTCTGCATTATCACTAAATTTAAACAAGGCAATATTCGTATAATTTATTGCTATGTTGAGGTAAAAACAAATTTCAATGTTTTATATAGAAGTTTTCATTTCCGTGACAATTTACTTTAAGCACATATTTATAATAATTCAAGCTCACCTTCCACTTTAAACGTGACGTCAGCCGTTTCAGGTTTGTTGAAATACAGATCCTTCATATTTCGCCTTGTCTCGTCATTCATGGAAGTACCTATACTTGGATTAAGGAATGCCTGACCACTGAGACAATTTTGGCAAATCTCCGTCAATTTCGGCAATTTAAAAGTGGCAGCTAGATTCATGATGTCATCAAGTTCTTCTGGGTCAATTTGATCCTGGTCATTAGATAGACAGGGAACACCTGAGGAAACGCGATGTGTAGGTATATATTTGTATTTATATATTTTACCTTTTTAGGATTTATTAAGATTTTTTCGTTACAAACATGTACACATTTCTTTGATAATTAAGAAGGGAAATAACATTTCATTGAACGAACAGAAAATATAACAATTTGTTTAATAGTGATGATAATGTTTTTAATGCCCATTTCATAAAAACAATCTTATTCATCCTTTTCGTAAACAGTAACTGTTTCTGATAACAAGGTATAAATGATGAGCAGGAATCAAACTTACCAGAGTACAGAAATTGCAGAACTTTGACGAATGTTTTGGGTTTGATATCAGGATTAAGTTCAACCACTGTATGACGATGAATTTGACCTTGGATATCTTTTGTGAACTCGTCCTTGTCATATGCAGCTACTATTCCCTCCGTTTGCTCAGAGTTCAGTTCATCCATAGTGAAGTTACTCGCGGACTTCGTTCTCTTCCTCTGAAGAGTTGAACGAAAAAGAAAGAGCTCAAAAACTTTTGAAACAACATGAATATGAAAAAAACATATATGGATGTTTGTCTTGAACACTAGATAAATTGTTCTGAAGGAGAAATCCTGTTTATCCTCAAATCTTTTAAAAGATGCAATCACTCGCAAATCAATATATCCAATATTTCGCTAACAATAATCAAGTTACCTTATGTGACTTCATCATTCCAAAGACTCGTCTGAAGTATGTGGAAGATGAACACAAAACTATCTTATGTGCGTCAAGGTTGAGCTGTTCTCTCAATATGAATGTAACGTCTGCATGAACAGGGTTTTCGTGCATAGCCAGCCAATCGTCTGCAAACCTTGATGTTTCAACTTCAATTTTCGGGGCCATACCTAGAACACATTAGGAATAGATCAATCGAATTTGTGTATGTATATTGTATAACGATTCGTATATTTATACAATACACATACACAAATTCGTTTGATATAAGATAATGTAGTTGCGTATTGTTATAGAATTTTCCTACTGAAGAAACGTCGAGAAATTTAGTGTTTTACAACATATTCACGCTCCAGGTGATGGAGGAAAGTTGGTGTTCCCCACGATAAAACCAGGCGCCACTACCTGCGTCACGTAGTGCTCGAACCCGTGACCTAGAGATAAAGGACTAGTGATAAAGACGGCCAGGGGTCCGAGTCAACCTATATTGTATAGTGAACTGTTACTTAGTATTAGGGCCAATTTTACTTTTCAAATAGATTTGGAACCCCGAAATTAAGTATTAAAAACATATAGTATTTTGACAAGCTACTATCAAGATTTATTTCTATAACTACAGTTTACACCTTTCTGTTTTGTTCTTAGAACCTAAGTGTAAATTTGATAAATCGAACTTCATATATGCATATCATTTCGTTCTTATAAACGACATGTCCTCTAATGTTTTATTGTTTAGAATTGAATTTTTCCGATACCATAGCAGGTTCTTTTCATACGTGGATTTAAACATGATGAATGCTATGTTATAAACATAATATAATGCACTTTTTGACATTTCTCTTTTTGGCTGCATTAGAAACCACACAAAATAAATGTGTGAAAATCTCTTCAATTTATCAAATGGTGAAAATTTAACACTGAAATGGTATTGTAAATACTGAAAACTGAGTTGTTCAGTAATTCAAACTGTCTTCCGATGATTGAGACGACCTACATAATTTTATGCACGATTCAAGAAAACTCGAGTTAAACATATGGTCTATTCAAGCATATGTAAGTGAAGGTTCATGCACTACCACTCCCAACCAAAACTGGAATTATATGTAACAGATCAAAAGTATGAATGAAACCCCAACAACCAGCTGTTTCCTCTCTCTAAGAATCGTCAGTGATGTTCTAGCAAATGTTAACTTGCCTGCAGGAGGCATCGGAGGAGGAGGGGGAATCCGTCCTCTATTGCCACATGAGAACCATGGTTGGATTGTTGTTGTTGTCGCATTTACCAGCGCTACCCGGATCTAAAACATAATACCGAGGTGAACGATGAAAGGACACATATATTTAAATTCATATTGAATCAGGTATAATAACATATTACATACATTACCCAATTACAATTAAGTTTATTTTTTGAGGAATTACATTTTTCGCTATATTCGAGGATTGAAAAAAATAGAAAAAATAGAAAGAAACCCACGTGACTCTGCTCTATTGTTTGAGCAATATATCAGGGTTTCGTGGATTTCTGATAATGGTTTAATGATTCTCTTGAAAATACACCATTTTTGGTGAAACTGCGATCGAAATGAATTAGTCTAAAACAAAGTGGATTAGAAATCTATAAATAGGTATTATAAGTACATATATAAATGAACCCACAAAAATCAATTAATGATTTAAACCCGATAAAATCAGCAACATTAACTCACAAACCCCGACCCCCTTTTCTCTCTCTCCTCCCTCCCCTCCCCACTCCCTCTAAAAACTGGGCAGAAAAAACTCACTGCTGCATGAAAACATTCTTGTACACCTTGTTGTGTTCGCGCACTGGTCTCTACGTAACATAATCCTAAATCACTGGCGACCTTTGATCCTTCCTCATACGTCACTAAATCAGTTGCTGGTTTCTCTCTCAAATCTATAAATACGAAGAATTATTCCAATAGGTTTCAAATAATATACATGTACATTATTACCATACGGAGTTTTGTCTCCTGATGGTAAATAATCAGTGAAATTGGCAATAGTTTATTGAAATGATTGTGTTTTCTTTTCCATTTTTAATGTCTTCATTTTATTTATGCATCACCGTAAGACTTGTGAAGAATCAACATTCAAAAAGATACAGGTAACACTTTAGAATTATGAAAAAACAATGTTTTGATAATTGTTCAGAAAGATCAGGATGGTATTACCATAATGTCAAAAGTAACGTTTTTATAAGCATATATTAATACAATTAATCAATTTTGTGATATAAAAACCTTTACAAATATAACAAGATTTTTACTAAAAATATGTTCATTCAGAGTAAGGAGGAACAGAAACACAAAATGCTGAATTTTCTTACCGATTTTGCAGGCATTAAGTACAATTGGCGTATTAGGACAAAAACGTCTAAGTTCTGGAACCCACTTAACCTTCACATTAGCAAGAGATTCTCGGTTGTCAATGGAAAAACAGACAAGAAATACATCTGTAAGAAAATAGGACAGCGGCCTCAGACGGTCATGGTCCTCCGACTGAAATAAGATAGCGAAATCATCGAAACGGGATTGACGAAGAATTTCACAATATAGATAGCTTTTGAAATAAAAACTTATTATTAAATAGAAATGGGTGGTCGGGTGGCGCAGGGTAACGCACTCGCCTTTTAACTAGCCGTCCGGGGTTCGAATCCCGTAACGGTCGTAAAAAGTAGTGGGGTCACCCGACCACATGTGCTTGCCCCAGCTACTCTGGTTTCCTACCACAGTAAGACCCCCACCCCCGCGCTTCCATTCGGGCAGACAGAAGTGACTGATATAATCTTGTTTCGCAATTGTTGTAAGATAAATAAAATTTGGATAAATAAATCCCAATAACTTGTTATAACTAGTACTTAATCCTTTCACCCAAATGGCTAGTAAAAATGAAATATTAAATCACATTTGATTAAACTGGATATATATCCAAGGTAGAATATATTAATTTTATCGGTATCAAACATTCAGGAGCAAAAGTCCATGGTATTACAACAGTAACTTTTACAACTCGGATGGAGACAATCTTTTTGCATCTCCCCATTTCCAATCTCCAAAAGAGTGCATTAAGGTACCTTACATAATGCGCGTGTATAAGAAATGACAACTCCGGTACAGATGGTACAAAAGCCACACAAGTGAATTGCTTGTTTAAAACACAAGTTTAGAGCTAGATACAGTAGAGCCAAACAATGAATTAAACGTTTCATCCTTCTAAGACTAGTCTGTGATGCTAACGGCCCTAGTTCTAAAGGCTAGGCAACAATTGAGGAAATTCCAAAATGATCGGAAAAGAAGTGAAAATCTAAACGCGGAGATGCACAAGTCCCATTATGTAATGAATTTCGTGATTTTCATACCACAGATTATTTCAGAACAATGTCAAGTAATATGTACATTACACATGTACATTTACCAATTAGTGTAAAGTGCCTATATATGATTTTTTGGTAATTCATGGTATTAAAAGATTACAATACATACATTTGTATATTTGAATTTCTATCCGTTCATCATTAATTATAATTCTAGCCGTTATTTATCTCTTGGAAACATGAAAATATTTTACTAAAAGTATGGTACGTTAAATGTGATTCAATGGTTGAAATTAAACGCCCGGCTTACCGTTCCGTGTATATCCCACAAACCAAACCTAACAGGTGTTCCGTCAACTAATTCGTCGTGAACGTAATTATCAAACACCGTTGGGACGTATGTCTCTGGATAAGCATTCGTTGCATAGACGATGTATAGGCACGTCTTTCCTGTCGCGTGATCTCCTACTGTCACAATCTTCAGATCCTGTGGCATTGTGCCTTGATGTAAAAAAAAATCCCAGATTATTGTAAATGTACATATTTTCAATTATATATATATATCATGCATTTTATATATATATATATAATTAAAGTGATAATTAAACTGTAATTCTTATGAAAAACTTTTGGGGTTTCTGTGCCACATTTAACGAATTTTATAAAAATAGCATTTAAACATTATGCATGTGGTAAAATGTCCTGTTAAAGTAATAACACTTTAAAGAAACAAATGCATATAAAGATACTTCAAGATGGAAAATATCCAAATAAATTGATATCATCGATGTCAGTATGTATTTTTATTTTAAGAATTTAAAGATTTCACCACACCACTTTCTAAATCTAATTGTAAATGCTCACGAGTTCTATGTAAAGTGTTGCCATATAGTGATTGTAATGTCGTGCTAATACATTCCAAATTATAGCCATATTTCACCGTAGTAGACTTATTTACAGCAAAGGTACTCGCTACTGAGATTTCTTTGAGAAATTATGGAATGCTCCATTCATTTATCATTCATGTTTTATAATTTGTGTGTCTCGTGTACAAATACAAATATAAAGCATTAGTGTTTGTAACTCCATGAGCTTTCATGTATCATACTACTGTATGCCAGGAAAGCAATCTATAGATGTACGCTCTCTAGTTACGTGTTCTAAACATCCATTCATATATCACAACACATCATAATATCGATAAATTCTTTTCAAGAGAAACTCATTCTGAATGCCTCGCAGAAGTTCCTGTATTACGTCATATATTCTTCTCAAACAGTAGCAATGTTGGCGTATCGAAAATTGCACGTGCAAAGCAAAATTACTGTCTATTGTCTAACTTACCTTAACGATGGTCTCCGTTATAGACTTCACAGAATCCTGTTAAACGAATCTGTAGCTGTTCTCACTTCGCATCACAGTAGTGTTATTTATCTAATCTAAAAATAGTTCAGCGAGCATTTGCTATATTTGTTGACCAATCAGATATCTTCATCTGAGACGCTGACGTCAGACATGTTCATAGATGCTCTAATTCTAAGCTTGATAAAACGGTTATCGTTTTACTATTAAACAGTTAGAAAATGACTTTAAATTATGGAACAAAATTAAGCAAAACGTTAGAGAAGAAATAAATATTGTGATTGATGACCAGAAGGATTCAGGTAGTCGGTGGTTAGTAGACCTTGGCTTTTCTTAATATAATATATAATTCTGTGGAGTTTGGTTGCAAAGTCAACATTGTTGATATTAAAAAGTAAAATTGACAACTTTATATGCTATCTATGCTTCAAAACACGTGAAATGTTTTATCTTCTAATAAGATCAAGTAACTATTAAGAACGACTTCAAGAGTGCATACATCAACCTTTTTTTTAGTACACACTGTAAAATTCGAGCTAACTTACCGAGAAATACCAACGAAATAGTATTTCAAAGTGTTCAAAATTACATTTTACGCACTAAAAGATTTGAATGATTGTTACATTATTTTTGTATGATAATTAAATATTTATATACATATAGTATCAGTATCGGCGCGTCACCAGCTGGTTGAATATCAATCCGACATACGTCTACTTACTAACTCCTTTCCTTGATCCCCTACTCTCTCTACCCCTCTACTCTGAACTGATAACATGATTTCTCTTGTTTTTCGATATCCATATGACGTTATTTCTTTAAACATTGATAAATGCTTACAGTGCTGTTAAGTAGAATCACATCAAGGAGACAGATTTATATACGTGTTCATCACTTGTTTCTGAATCCTTTTCTTTTGTATACCTAAGTACTCTGTAATATGTTATGTAATAAGAAAGAAATAAAGTTTAAACTAAATTCGAGCTCGGTATTGAATTTGCGAAGGCTTAAACACATTTAAAATCCGCTGTAAATAACTAATCTTTTCTGATAATATTTGTATGCATATAAAATAGGTGTGTAAATTCTTCTTTCAGCATGAATGACGTCATACTTTTAAATTATATCATATTACACAGAAAAGTCCTGTATTCCGACGTAATTAAGTATCAAATAATATTAGATAACATTTAATCGAAATGAGGTCAAAGACAATCTGAGTAAAGGTATTAGTTTCTTGTCTTCTTACCTCCATCTTGAATCTTGTAATCTAGTTTTGTTAACAAGTATCATAATATGTAGTTGCATATCAATTACATTTTCAAAAATAAAGAAAAAATGTGAAATTATTGGATTCTTTTAAATGAACTTCACATTTCCTTTTCTTGCATCATACCGATCGAAGAGAATACTTTATCTTGCAAATATCTAATTTCTTCATACAATATTTGCATGTAGATTTTTATTTATACAGTCGACTGACTCTAGAACCTTAATACGTGTGTGGGCTCTTTATCAGTATAATAGAATAAGGAGGACGTTTTTAAAGACGTTCTTCAGCTTGTTTAGTGCTCCTTAGATGTTCCCCAAAACGGCGTTGAGTTGTAGATGTCACCAATGTAGTATGAGAGTCGTATATTTGTTTCTAGACACATCGTCTATTCTTGAGACTGTAGACTGAGAGGTGTGTTTGTGAAGGACGGGGTATTGAGAAGATAAACTGGAATATCAAAAAAAAATATAAAATGTAATTGTTAATAGTGAAATTTGTCACTCAAGTGTAGAACATAATTTGTGTTACATATTCTGGTGGCAGCGGTGGGATCATTCTAAGGAGAAGGACTCGGTTATCAAAGATATAAAGCTTATTAGAACTGTTCAATATGTCGACGCCTGAAGAAACGGAAACTGCGAAGATGACAGAAGCACAAACAAAGCTGGAAATAAGAAGACTCGAAATTCAAGCAGAGAAAGAGGAAAAAAATAGAAAAAGAAAAACTTCAAGCAGAGAAAGAGGAAAAAGAACGCCAAATGAACTTAGAAAAAGAAAAACTTCAAGCAGAAAAAGAGGGAAAAGAACGCCAAATGAATTTCGAAAGAGAAAAACTTCAAGCAGAGAAAGAGGAAAAAGAACGCCAAATGAATTTCGAAAGAGAGGATGGACGCCGAAGAAAAGGAAAGAGAACATCAAAGGAAAGTGAAAGAATTGGAATTAGAGATTGAAAAAGCAAAACTTCAAAAGGAACGAAGTGACACAAATTCTAACCCTGTGCCGTTTAGACTGAAACTGCAACCTTACATTCATGCTGAATGTGAGGATATAGTGACATTCTTATCAGAGTTTACTGCTTTATCAACACAGGCTGGATGGACAGAAGAAGTAAAAATGCTACAGCTGAGAGCCTTGTTAACAGGTGAGGCCAGAGAGGTAGCTATTCAAGCACATGGGTCATTTGAAGAACTTTGTAAAGCCCTAATGGACAGGTACGGGAAAAGGCCCTACCAATATTTCAAGCTATTACAGACAGCCCAAAGGGAACCTAAGGAAACATACAGAGGACTTATGGCAAGAATTGAACAATATCTTACTAGATTTGTGGACTCAGTAGAGGATGTCATGGAAAAATTCAAAGAGGAATATTTTCTTAGTGCATTGCCAGTGTCACAAGCACAATGGATACACCGTAACAAAGGGTCAAGCAGTGTGGTTGAAGCCGCAGAGGATTATATTCTACCTGAACGGAATATAAACAAATCAACGCAAGGTAAAAGTATAAATGGAAAAACTTTTACCTCTGATCGGGACCAGAGAAAGGAGCAATCGACAGAGCAATTGAAAAGTGTGCAGTGTTACAAACAGAGAAGGTAAAAATTTTAGTGCGACAATACACGGGAGGACTTATCCATGTCCCAGGAGAGGTCAATGGCCGTGATATTAGTTTCGTGAAAGACACTGGGTCAGCGATGACCTTGATTAGGGAAGACCTGGTGGACCCAAGTTGTGTATTGGAGGGTCAGCGGGAGACGCTGTGTACAGCGACTGGACAGCCGTTTTCAGCCAAACTGGCTATCGTTGATATGGACACGCCATATTATAAGGGACATGCTCAGGTCGGATTAGTGCCTGACCTTGTCGCTGAAGCCCTGTTGGGGGTAGACATCATAGAGAGACAATCAAAGGCTGTGAATGTTGTTACGCGTGCACAACATCGTAATAACATTGCTGAAGAAAGGCTAGCTGAGGACAAGGAAAAGGAATGCCATGTAAAAGTTGGAATGGACCCCGACACGGACCAAGTGGATGCCAGTAAGGGAAGTGATGTTGGACAGGCGAACGATGTGGACCTGGACCATGGCGATGGCGTTGGTGAGGACATTGACAACATCAGTGAGACTGTATCCCACAGCAATGGGGATGATACAGTTAACATCACAACAGAGGAACCGCTTGAACTTTCTGCTGTAAATGCTGAAGTGCTTAGTAAGCTTCAGCAGGAAGATCCAACTTTAGCCAACATTCGGAGAAAAGCTGCAAGTTCAGAGGAATCTGTGCAGGAAGATAGGAATGCCCTGTACTGGGAAAATGGGATTCTCCGTAGGAAATGGGAGTCTAGTGATGGAGCCCAACATGGAGTCCAGGTAGTACTACCAGAGGCACTACGTCTCAATATCATTAAATTGGGACATGATGGACCACTTGCGGGACATTTAGGGATAGAAAAGACCAAAGAGCGTGTCGTTAATTCGTTCTATTGGCCAGGGATTTTTAAGGACATACAGGAATACTGTAGTACTTGTAACGTATGTCAAAAGACCGCCAGAAGACGTGGTGACGAGAAAGCTCCATTAGGACAACCACCGATCATTAGTGAGCCATTTTACAAAATATCTATGGATGTTGTTGGGCCACTGTCTCGAACAAAGAAGGGGAACAGGTTTATTCTTACCGTTATGGATGACGCAACAAGGTACCCAGAAGCTTTTGCATTAAAGAATGTGGACGCAGAAACCATAGCTAACACATTGGTGGAACTGTTCAGTAGGGTAGGAGTGCCTCGTGTTATTCTGACAGACCAGGGCACAAATTTCACCTCAAAAATGATACAAGAACTCTACCGTGTGATGGGAATCAAGGGCATAACAACATCGCCATACCACCCACAGGCTAATGGGAAGGTAGAAAGATTTAACGCAACTCTCAAAGCTGTGTTAAAGAAACTCTGCACGTCAAATCAGGAAGCCTGGGACGAGCTGTTGCCATATGCATTGTTTGCATATAGGGAAGTACCCCATGAGGAAACGGGATTCTCACCATTTGAGATGCTATATGGATGGCCGGTCAGAGGACCATTACAGATTTTAGAGCAAGCCATGACAGGTGAAGGAGAGCTTAGAAAATCTGTCATTGACCATGTTGTTCAGATGAGAGAAAAGCTCGCAATGGTTAGAGAAACAGTACAGGAAAACCTGACAATCAAACGGCAAAAGATCAAAGAGTGGTACGACAGGAGCGCCACAAAACGGGAACTTCGACCTGGGGACGAGGTTCTACTATTACTACCATCAGACACATCAAAAATGGTCGCCCAATGGAAAGGACCATATAGGGTCATAAGGAAAGTCAACGACGTCAACTATGAGGTCAGTGTTGGAGGACGTCGTAAACGAGTTGTTTATCATATCAACCTACTACGGAAGTACAATAGAGCTGTCCAAAACGTCATGTTTGTCGAAAAGGTTGACATCGCCTATTCTGATTTTGACGGTTCTAATTCAACATTGGAGGTAACACTGGATGTTACACTTGGCAAAATGTTAGATAAGTCACAGCGCCAAGAAATACGTCAGCTTTGTCAAGAATACAGTGATGTCATAAATCCTAATCCAGGAAAAACATCGTTAGTTACGCACAGCCTGAGGACAACGTGTGAGAAACCAATCCGACAACAGCCATACAGAATTCCTCGAGCCAAAAAACAAGAGGTGAAGAAAACGTTGGATGAAATGATAGTTTTGGTGGAAAAGAAGGATACTACAACTCAGCTATGTGTGGATTACAGGAAACTCAACGACGTAACTGTATGTGACGGGTACCCAATACCCAGGGTGGACGAGATATTTGAAAAGCTAGGCAAAGCTCAATACCTCAGCACTATGGACCTAGCAAAGGGATACTGGCAGATACCTCTGTCTCCAGATTCACAGGAAAAGTCAGCTTTCGTAACTGAATTTGGACACTTCCAATTCAAGGTAATGCCTTTTGGTATGAAAACAGCGCCTGCTACATTTGCAAGAATGATGGACAGACTGTTAGCAGGAGTAGAACATGTGGTCGCTTACTTTGATGATATAGTGGTATACAGCGACACATGGAAGGAACACCTTGAACATATCAAGACTGTATTGGACAAACTTCGGGAAAGTGGATTAACAGTAAAGCCATCAAAATGTCAATTTGGTGAAGAGGAACTTTACTGTCTGGGACACATTGTCGGGAAAGGAAAGCTTAAACCAGATAGTCGGAAGGTTCAAGCCATGGTTGACTTCCCCCTCCCACAAACCAAAAAAGGGATTAGGTCATTTCTAGGTATATTATTATGTTTCACTGGTTATTATAAGGAAAGACAAACCAAGGCAACCCAAATGAATGGATGACACTGTAAATGCATTCAACCAACTTGACCAAGGCAGGATAGCAAATATTTTAAAGAGCGTCATTCAGATGATGCCAGCAACGTGGCTATTGGAGCGGTCTTAAGTCAGAATATCAACAATAAGGAACACCCTATTGCGTACATCAGCAGAAAGTTACTGCCGCGGGAACAAAATTACTCTACAGTGGAGAAGGAATGTTTAGCTATCGTTTGGAGTGTTGAGTCATTCTCCTATTATATTAGTGGTGTTCACTTTACCATTTTGACTGACCACAATCCACTTAAATGGCTTGATAGGACCAAGCAAAAGAATCAGAGACTGTTAAGATGGGCACTGGCATTACAACAGTTTCATTATACAATCAGATATCGAAGGGGCCAGGAAAATGCCAATGCGGATGGACTATCCACAATTGAATAAATAGTGTATATATTTTAAAAAAAAGGAGACGAACACTGACTCTGGATGTATCATCAATTGTGAACATGTGATAAGGTTGTGATGTGTATACCTTAAGAACAAACAGTGACAGTCTAACAGAAGTACCTTATCCAAGGAAGTTAACAGTATATTGTAGAATTTAGAATTAACTGTTGTTCAAGTAAACTTACCAGTGTTTGTGTACATACTAAATATTATCTCAGCCTGAGTATCATGAGCAGTTTGCTATCTATGAACTTTTAGACCGTAAAAGTTTTCTTAGGCAGGGGGATGTTAATAGTGAAATTTGTCACTCAAGTGTAGAACATAATTTGTGTTAAATCTTAATGTGACTGGCTGGCTTATCAGACAGATAGTTTAATTGCGGTCACCTTAGTGTCAGAATCATGCCGTGAAACATTGGCTGGACATGCTCTCCACCATGGAGACATCAACTGGTCACGGTTTAATTGTAGATCAGTAGAAGACACTTTCCCTATCAGAATTAGATTATAATTGCTTTAGGATAAACTGTAAGATCACAGCAAATAGAGTCAGTCCTGGTGTGGCCGGGGAAGGAGTAACTTGTTAAGCTCGATACTCAGGCCATACATGTTATCATTGTTGTAACTTGTGTTAATACTCAACATTTGTACTTGAGAACGGTTGTTGCTGGTCTTTTGTATAACATAAGGATAGTACAACATAGCGGGGTAACAGTAATCATCGCTGTTTGGGGAAGCAAGGACATTTCTATGTTATCATACAACCAGGTGAAAACCCTTTCGGTGACGTTTCAGTAACGATCTGGATAAGGGACCGATGAAGAACGTCTGACGAGATGCTCAGTCCTGGTGTATATAAATGATGGACATAGTTCATATATCAGTATGTCTATAAATGAAACTGAAGGAATTCACAAGGTCTTTGAAACGTGTCTTGATAAGGTCTTTCAACATCGTATGAAAATTCTTTCAAGATCGTATGACAAAGCCAAGACCGCCAAAAGAAGGACGCATTATTATGAGAAGATACATAGTGTTATCATAGAATCAATTTGAATTATGTTTTTTCAATTTGATGTTTGATGTTCCGAAGGTTATTATTGTAGTTATATTCCAAAGAAGCAAATACGTTTTAATGTCAACATTCCATTTACCATGCAGTCATAATGATTATAAGACTTGTTTGCAAATGCCATCTATCACGAAGTTGATACGAAAAGTTTCTGACTAGAAATTGAGATATCTGTAAAACATTTCAGAAATCTGCGAATTTGATGTGTGTAAGTAATATTATATTGTACTCTCGTCATGACAAAACTGAGTGACAGAATAAGATCAAATAAAACATGAGAACTATGCATTTTATATATACAGTAGCTTCAATACACAATGGCACTAACATGAAATGTAACAAGTGATATATTACTTTGACAATAACCCGCCATTATACATAACATTGACAAGTGATGATATCGATTTACACATGTATTTGCATTTTCTTGCAATGGCAAATCTCTCTTGATTAAATAGTTGATGAAGTACTTAATTAATGTTAAACACAGCAATACACACTCACATAACGTCTCTCTCTTCTCCCATTTCTCTTTATCCATATGCCCATTCATGACGATTCATGTTCCAGGTTATAACACTTATATTGTCAACGAATATGATTGATTAAAATGCAGAATGAAGGAATTAAACATAATTAAAAATAATAATAATAATAAAATATTTAAAATGAAATGACAATCATTATACCATCTTAATCAATATGTACAATTTGTCCGATTCCGACAGGAGTTTAAATTGTTGTTAATTCTGGTTAATGACAAAATTTCTGAATCACACTAATCTAACGCACCTTATATACTAACATACGCTTTTACATGATTGAACACTTGGACGAGAATCTCCTATGCCTTATTTTCCACTTCCGCTCGTATTCCTCAACATCACGAATGTACGATAGCGGCGGCCATTGATTCGCTTCAATAAAGGTTCTATTTTCTTCGTTCAGCGACGATAATTCCACCCGATTCTTGAATGCTGTATAGTTTGTAGAAATGAAATGAAGACACCATCTGGACAGCTGTTCTGCATTGTAATCCTGTCAAAATACATACAAATATTGATATTTAAACAGAATTACCGCGGGACTTTTTTCAATGATAGGTTTCATTAATGTATATACCAGATCTTTCATTTTCATAACAAATCGTATAATCGAAATTAGTGCATTTAATGAATAAAATAGAGGAGGAAAATTCTATATGATCATGCCTTTTAAAGGAAATATTTTACAGCTAACTACATATATCATCATATCTTTACCTGTGATGACTGTAAAAGTCCGATGACATCGATGTCTGCTTTTTCTATAGTCTTTATCACACTTTTGTTGACTTCCTTAGTTATATGTAATTCACACAGATTCGTGAGACGTTTAAGACCGTATTTATCCGCCAGAACAATGAGTGATATCACATCAGTCTGTTCAATAGGTGCCTGGTCGGTGTAGAGATATTCCAAAAGAGCCAAGAAACATTCCGACGTTGTAGCTTGGATATCAATCTACACCATTAAAACAACAAAATGTATTAGAAACATTTACTGTATTAACATGCTCAAACATTTATATGCAGTTATAAGCATTTTAACTGTACGACTTTGAGGTTTTGATGTCAATTACACCTACCTCGAGTAAGCTTGATTGGTCTTTCACACAGCTATCTTGAATCGTAACCGCCATGTTTTTGCATCTGGCAGTTAAGACACTTTTATGAGCATAAATGTTTCTTCCTGAAAGAAACAAGTGTCATTTATGATAATTCATTTTCACACTATGTAATATATGATATTGCTTTGTTCCTTCTCGATTGATTTAAAATTGTTATTTCCAAAGCTAAGTTCAGCAGCCAGGTAATAAGTAACAGTACAGAAATAGACAAAAACACGAAGATGGATCTCTTTTCAAATGCTTGTCGATTTCTGGGAAAATAAAAGATCAGAATAAGCATGAAGCAATTTGACGGATTTCTTAAAAATCATTAACTTGGTATTAAAATTGAAGGGTTGCCACTTAAAGACTGCTAAACTCAAAGCGTTTGGAAGCAAGGTATTATTTCTTACCTTCAGTACGTTTTCGTAACAGCGTGATATACAAACAGCTGCAGTAGAATTGAGCATTTGTTAGGCAATACTCTTATTATTTAATCAGATAATATATGTAATAGCTTCTCATGTATATACACTTTACTCTATGAAGCCATTCACAATAACTGAAGCTCACCTTCCACATTAAACGTGACGTCAGCCGTTTCAGGTGTGTTGAAATACAGATCCTTCATATTCCGTCTTGTTTCGTCAGTCATGGAGGTACCTATACTTGGATTAAGAAATGCCTGACCAGCGAGACAATTTTGACAAATCTCCGTCAGTTTCGGCAATTCAAAAGTGGCAGCTAGATTAATGATGTCATCAAGTTCTTCCGGGTCAATTTGATCCTGGTCGTTAGCTAGAGTGGGAACACCTGAGGAAACGCGATATATCGGTATGTATTTGTATTCCAGCACCTATTACTATTTATTATGATTTTCCCGTTACTAACATGTACGTATTGTTTGGAAGGCAAGTCAAATTTTCCCATGAACGAACAGCAAATATATCGATTCGTCTAATTCTTTAAGTAATTTTAATGCCCACGTTCTCTAACAGTGTTGTTTACCTTTCTTAAATAGTAAATATTTCGTGTTATGATAACAAGATATAAATTACAAGTATGAATAAAACTTACCAGAGTACAGAAATTGCAGAATTTTGACGAATGTTTTGGGTTTGATATCTGGACTAAGTTCAACCACTGTATGACGATGACCTTTACGTTGGGTATCCTTTGTTAACTCGTCCTTGCCATATACAGCTACTATTCCCGCTATTTGTTCAGAGTTCATTTCATACATAGTGAAGTTACTCGCGGACTTCGTTCTCTTCCTCTGAAGAGTTAAACGAAAAAGAAAGAGTTTTAAAACGTTTGGAACAACACGAATATGAAACACTGAATAAAATTCTTCATAAGGAGAAATTCTTCTTATCCTCAAATCTTTCAAAAGATACAATGACTCGCAAAACAATATATCCAATATTTCACTAACAATAATCAAGTTACCATATGTGACCTCATCATTCCAAAGACTCGTCTGAAGTATGTGGAAGATGAACACAAAACTATCGTATGTGCGTCAAGGTTGAGCTGTCCTCTCAATATGAATGTAACGTCTGCATGAACAGGGTTTTCGTGCATAGCCAGCCAATCGTCTGCAAACCTTGATGTTTCAACTTCAATTTTCGGGGCCATACCTAGAACATATTAGGAATAGATCAAACAAATTTGTGTATGTATATTGTATAACGATTCGTATATTTATACAATATACATACACAAATTCGTTTGATAACAGATTGCGATTTGTTATATTATTTCCCTACTAAAGAAATGAAGAGTAAAAAAGGTCAATGACATTATGTAATTTTACCTTCCTAATTAATGCAATTGAAAATGAAAAAAATCTAGTATTTCGACAAGCTACCATCAAGATGTACATCTACAACTACAGTCTACACTTTTCTGTTTCGTTCTAAATGTGCTAAATGCAGAATCGAGCTACACCTACATGTTAAGTTTCGATCTTATAAATGACCTATAATATTTACTTTGCTCTAAACTGATTATCTACTTGTGTCTACTATCTGCTGTATGTGGCTCTAAATTTGCGTTAAAAAGTTCCAACATTTTCTGTACATTCTTCTACATCAAAATAAGTAAATTTCACATCTAAATAAATTATTAAATGGATAAAGCGGAGGAAAGTCAATGCATATATGAAAAATGTAAGCCAAATAATGAATTAAACTACGTTATTAGTTCTTTCCGCCTTCCAGGACTCCTAATTGATACACTAACAAAACCACGCTCGTGTTAACTTGCCTGCGGAAGGCATTACAGGAGGAGGGGGTATCCGTTTTCTATTGCCACAAGAGAACCATGGTTGAATCGTTGTTGTTGTCGCCTTAAGCAACGCTTCCCTGATCTAAAACATAATACCGCGATTGACAATAAACGAACACATCATATCTACATTAGTATATAATCATATATCACTTGTTACGTATGTGCTTTACTAAATCACTATGAAGGTTACTTGTCTGTGGAATAATATTGCTCACCGTATTCGAGGATTGAATAAAATTGAATAGATACAGGAATATATGAACTATCACAATAAGCGGGTGCATCGTTATCTGACATTCGTAAGGTGTCCGAAATTGCATCTTTCACACAATTACCTTCGCCTAATACTGATTTGATTTGGTATAGAGCAAAGGAATAAGTAATCTACCAAAACATGAGCTTCGTGATATTATTGACAGAACAAGACTCACTGCTGTATGGAAACCGTCTTTTACTCCTTGTTGTGTTCGTGCACTAGTTTCTATGTAGCATAATCCTAAATCACTGGCGAACTTTGACCCTTCTTCACGCGTCACCAAATCAGCTGTTGGTTTATCTCTCAAATCTATAAGATAGACAAGAATTATTCTAGCATTTTTCAACTGTTCCTAGAAAAAGTGGCTTGTATCTTTACACTTAATTCATTGTGTGATATAACAAGATTTACTCTAAATATTTATCTTCACTCAGAGTAAGGGCAGAAAAAGCAAAAATAACAAATCCTTCTATTCTACATATCTTAAAACTGTTGAAATTCTTACCTACTTTGCAGGCAGCGAGTACAATTGGCGTATTAGGACAAAACCGTCTTAGCTCTGGAACCCACTTAACCTTCACATTAGCAAGAGATTCTCTGTTGTCAATGGAAAAACAGACAAGGAATACATCTGTAAGAGGATAGGACAGCGGCCTCAGAAAGTTCTGCTCCTCCGACTGAAATATCAGATTTAACACATCACTGAGTACAGTAACTAATGATTTATCATAGAAGAGAACGACTTCTTCCCTGAAATTAATAAAGAGGTCATTATGATAACACCTGTGTTGGCCCTCAAGATAATATTTAAGCTAACGCAACGGCTGATGTTGACAGAAAAATCCGTTTAGTGTAAATTTGCTTCTCGTTATTTTTAAATTATGATGTTAGTAGAAACCTGACTTGACTTGATTTGAATCTATTATCGCTACACTGATAGAATAATAATAAAAAACGGGGAGTAACTCTGCTACATCTGATAAAATTAATTAACATGCTTGAAGACTGATATTCATCGTTTTGAAATATGAAAATGTGATTGGCTTACAGTTCCATGTGTATCCCACAAACACACACTGACAGGTGTTCCGCAGACCATGTCATCTTCAACGTAATTTTCAAACACTGTAGGAACGTATGTCTCGGGGAATGTATTCTTTGCATAGGCAATGAATAGACAAGTCTTCCCCGTGGCTTGATCTCCAACCGTGACAAGCTTTAGATCATATGGCATTGCACCTATTCACGTTCAAGACAAAAATTACGGTTACCAACGTATTGTTATTATTTTTAATAAACGATTTATCATTATTAATTCATTACTACAAAAAATATGGATTTGATGATAAACCAAAAATATGACGAAGGGAAGAAATTGCAGTATGACGTATGAGGAATTTTCTTAAATTTGATAGTGAGTCTACATATATGATAGATATTAACTACAGATAGATTCTAAAATGTATAAAAATAAAACACTATGCCTACGGTTGCAAACAAAATTCTAAAGTATAACATTAAAACTATACTGTGTAAGGCATGTGCTAACTGCATGCACACTTTGTGAAACGATCATGTCGTCATTATGTTAATGATAATTTCTTTTCTTTCAAATGCAGGTCAAGGTCAAATGGTACCATCAGATTGGAAATTATACATGCTAAATATATAAGCCATAACTTTTTTCGGTTTAATAGTTATGGGCAAGGTTAAAGTTGAAAACAGACAAAACGACAGCATCAACGAACAATATGTCCCCGATCTTTCAATCTGGGGGCATAAAAATCGCTTGCAGCTACATGATAATGTGTTGTGACACAATGAAGATCATTTGTAAACTGATCTGGTTACTTTGATAGAGTTTCTTTACCATTCTAAATATATGTTTATTATTATTATTTTTTTTTTTTTTTTGGGGGGGGGGGGGGGGGGGGGGGGGGGGGGTTGGAGGAGGGGTTAGTGGATTCGGATTCCTTAACATTTCTTCGGAGAACGTGACATTCCTTGGATTGGATTGACCTGGTAAACATGGCGGGTGTCGTCGATGAAGCAGAAAACGCTTACTCTTCCGGAACACTTGGTCTTCTTCTCTTTATACTTTTTCAGAAGTCTCCGTGTATTTTTTTCTTTTGTTCATATTTTGCTTAAGTTTGATTAAATTTGAGTTTGTGGTAAACTTAAAAGATTTTTTGTAAAAAGTCACCCAAACCATAAATTGGCAAAGTTCAATACAAAGTTAAATTTGTTGTTTTCATGCAATGCGTTAGTAAGTAGTATCAAAGACAAAATACACTCTCTCTACAGTTAACGACCGAAATAATATTTAAGTAATGAGAAATCAAACATTGTGTGGCTGGCCTTATAATTTCTTTTTGTACAACAGAAGTTGAACATACAAACAAGCAATAAGAATTCTGAAAAGTGAAAAAATGTGTTAATTTGTTTTTATTTTTTCTAGGGAAAGTCTAAATACCATGCTTAATTTCATACAAAAGTGACTGATTACTGTACTTTGTTTCAAAACACGCCATAAATCAATAAGACGAATTCCAGAACAAGAGTAAAAACTAAACTCCTGTTAGGAGAAACACGAAGTTCTGTGTACAAAATAAAAATCTCCGATAATAAATGCCTCTCAGAGGTCATGCATTACGCATACGTCATTTGCAGCGTACCAGTAGCAAGAAGGACACTGCTACGGAAAACAATTAGGGTTATCAAACTTACCTTTGTGTCTATATTAACAGTAACCGACTCCTGGCACTTTCAGAACTTGTCAAACGGTAAGGAACTATTTACATCGCATTTCACATCCTGTCTCCGGTGTTGTTGATCAAATCTAAAAATAACTCTGCTAGTGTTGTCTATATATGCTGACCAATCAGATCTCTTCATATGAAACGTTGGCGTCTGACGAGACTGAAGGGATGATTTTAAGATGATCGAAATTTTTCCCTACAAATGACCTAATTTTCTGATTTGTGATTAGACGATGGATAAGTAATTTTACATCACAATTTTAGATCGAGGGCAATAACATTGAAGGATGATGTGGAAAGCCGACGAGGCACTCTGTTATTGTTTCTCTCAAACTTTCAAAGTGTGTGATAGACGGCATTATACAGTCAATTTCTAGAGGAATTTAATAAATATTTCAAAGTCTATCTCAGAAAATTTGGAATGTTACAAAAATTGTCAAGCGCTTTATATAAATACACCCTTATTTAGCTTTTTAAAAGTTATACATGTAATTAGAACACCCTTAAACGTATAGTATTAGTTAAAACCTCGTATATTTAAAATGCACTTTAAAGCGACTATAATGTTAAAAAAAACTACGAGAAAACGATATAAAACGTCCTATTTTCCAATAGTATGTTACAAAACTAAGACTTTCTGTTAATTACTAAAATTAAAAGTCACTGCAACCATTTTTATATTCAACAATATTACACATACATGTACGTGTTTTACATATAGGATGGGAAAACATGCTTTGTGCCTATATCAAGTTCTTTCAAAACTGATAAATCTTTTCTGACAATAAAATTTGTATATTTAAAAAAAAAAACCCATTAAAATCAGTAATTTCAAATATATCGCAGCTAAAAAAGGGGATAGCTGATAATAGAAGCTTAAGCAATATTAAGCCAAACCACTAAGATATGTTTATTCTTAAAAGATTCAATCATTGCTATTATTTCTTAGGTTTTTCTTTTTTCAGTTACAGGCTTTGCGCTATCTCTCTTTATTTTTCTAAGCGGTACACTTCTACTGTATGACGTAAATTTTGCCTGTAACTTGTTTTCTAAATTGGTATTGTATTCAAAGGTGCAATTCATTAAATGTTTTTCCTGTAGCCCATTTGGTCAAAAGTGTTTCGTACTATAAGAGAATTAACGTTTTGTTCTTTACAATTCCACATAGATAGATACATTATAGAATAATATATTCCGGGAGGACCAATCCACTCGCTCTTGAAAAATACTGCAGAATTGATGTAAATGAGTTTTCAGTCTGTAAAATGCCTTTACAATATAACAAACATATTTAGTTGTAAACCTGAAGAAGAATTGTAAAAACGCATGAATTAGATATATCTGGAAATAAGCGCCGGTTTGCTAAAATCGAGACGAACGGGAAAAGACATCACACAGGTCTAGATCCCGGACCTGAAAAAATAATTTCACCTCTGTGGAAGTGGATGATGTATTTAACAAATCATAGAAATATGTCTGTCTAATAAAGGCTGATATAACGGCAGCTGTTAGGACAACTTACAACAACTTCGCTGTATAATCATTTGAATTAAGGCTACAAAAGTTACAGAATCGCCCTTTAAAGTCAGAAAATTTTAGTCTGATTTAAAATTTGTGAGGTATTTGAAGAAATCGCCGTTTAAAATTGATCTTTATGTTACCACAAAATGATGAAAGTTTGATTTTTTTCCAACAGGTCCAACACCCCATTCAGGCAGACGTGTGTTACCTCTTACGGAGGATGTTAACGTGGGACGAGCGACGGTTGGTGATCCGGGAAAAGAAAGCTGGAAGAACCGATCACAGTATAACAATGATGTTTATTTACAATGAAACAAATAAACTATATATTTAAAGATGTCACACTCGCTAACTCATACACTCATAAACCAAATAATGATAAGTGTCCCTGTAGCTTCTAGCTCACGAAACAGAACAGTGTTCCTGTCAAACTCAATAGAGTTCCATAGTCTGAATCACCGTGACTCAGTCACCGTCCTCAAGCAGTTCCACGCTTGTATCACCATAATAGGCAACGCACTTATGTCAATGACATGACAGCTGATTAAGTGCTGAATTCAAGTCGCCGACCCTGGCAGTGTAACTTCTAAGTATGCTCCCTCGCTGACCTTGACCCTGAATGAAAGTCGTTACTTCTGGTCGGTCCTGACGCTTGGGTCGCAATGTAAAGGAGAGGCCTGCCTGGTCCTGACTCAATAAATGTTCCAACCCGTCATGTGAAGCTATAATGATTAACACAAATAGTTATAATTTCCACTCACACTTCCATACTATACTAACAAAACACATGGTACAAAATACTTATTATTTACCATAATTATTCAACTTTAGAATGAACCATAATTAGAAAATACTGAAATACGTTCATATTAGCGTCGAAATAATGTGCGGCTCCAAATTACAAACAAAATAAAACAAAATTACGAAATACACCAACTGACACCTCAAGGCTTCCATACTTTTTCCACTCGTTCGCGTACGCACTACGCTCGGCACTAATAAATTGATCAGGGCTTCCATAGATTTTAAAATCGACCCGAAACATGACATAGACTATGCAGTTTCATGTACAACACTCCAATATGTTTATATCATGTGCATATTTAGGAAAACAAACATAATATATTCAATTATAGTACGAAAACAACAAAAATGAAAGTTATCAACATACAAACAATAAACAATGGTCACGGCTGACTGGAGCGCACAGATACTTAGATTGTTTGACCCGATATATGGACTGGTACAAAACAACAATACCAACTAATATAGAAAAGAAAAAGAGATAAAGATTACTTACCACAGTGAGTCCCCTGTGCCTGTCTCACATGACACTAAATGCCGATAAATCCATATCGGGTGCACGGTAACAATGACACAATACCTGTCATGAGAATCTCACCCCGTGCACACCTACCCGTGACGCAATTCCGCCTAGCGGTACCCTACCATTAAGGTGACTTACCCCAAGTGTATACAAAATATACATGCTTACGTGACAGAGGACACGGAACTGACGCCACGACAAATCAGCAAGTATTTGTCCAAATCACGCAAAAAGGGAGGCCCAGCTCCTGCCCCACCACGTCGAACTACATCGTGTAAGGACACACCGGAAAATCCCAAAGATATGGAGAATTAACTGAAAGCAAATTTGATACTGCAGAACGCTAAGATAGAAAGTTCTACCATTGTGGGGAAGTATGATGAAAATGAAACCCTAGAAAGGGACTCCTCTGAAAACACTCCTCTGAAAATGTGCAACGATTGGAGTCTGCCCATTTCATAAGAGGGCGAGGCTTACTAAATGCTGAAAGTGGAAGTGTGATCATGGGTAAATTAGATGTGGATAATGTTACCAAAGTCATCAGTAGTTATGAAACCATTCCAAAGGGGCGTAGAATTGAAGCATACCTTGCATCAATGGAGAGTGGAACTGAGCGAAATCCAGTCCAGGAACTTCCCCAAGTAGAGGACCATGACTCTGGGACAGACACTGCCAGCATTTCCTCATGTCAAGTGCTCCTACCAGAGGCTTCAGCAGCCAAGGTAGTACCCAGCACTGAGGCAAACATCATTAAACCTGAACCCAATGTAAAACCATCAGCTGTTGTTAAATCACAATCACAGCACACAATTGTTGAGAATTCCACTTCTCATCATGGAGCTCTTCTTCAGAGACATAAATCTGATTTGACACATGGAGCCATGTCTGCCACTATTGACCCCATACAACCCAAAAATTATTACCCTAACCCTAAACCAAGGCCCTAAACTGTCTCATATATTCAGAGACCATGGTGAGACCAATAGCCACAAAGGTCATGAGCCATTGTTGTCTATACCTACTTCAGTAAACAAGTCACTGGAAGCCTCTCTTGACCACAGGTATAGTTAGGTATAGGTTGTCTCCCCATTATTTCATTACCAACATGTCTGAAGTGAACATTTACTCTACAGTGCTCTCTACTAGTCTGTCATTCTTTACCTTAATATAATTGAACTTGTTTCAGTAAGTTCAACTTGATAGTGTTATCACCCTCCATTTCTAATTAAAACCATAAACTGCATATTCAGACTCCATTTCTAATCCTTCTAGGATATTTTTGTCCTCAAATGATTTCCATTCTAATCTTCCTGGATTAATTTACCTACATAGTGTTGGATTAAGCTGATTTAAAAGTACTCATCACAGGAAAGTGAATGACTCAAGCCTCAATAATTATTGTCTTCTCAATGTTAATTAAGATACAATGATCTGTTTACTTTGTCTATTCTTAGTTCATCTTTATCACATGGTTGACTGTTCTGAAAATCACTTGTCCACCTGTTCATAAAAAAGTTGTTATAACTATTTCTTAAGCAGTATTCAAGGGGAATAGATCCCCTTGATCCTGAGTTGAGCATTGCCTATTTTTTTTAGACAGATCAGAAAACCAAAATGCCTAATTAATTTTTGACTATTATAATTTTAAATCGCTATTTACTAGAGAAATTGTGGATGGATTTTTCTCAAATTTCCTTTGCAGAACAGGAAATCAGAAAGACCAACATGTGAGTTATGTATTTTCTATTTTGGGGACAGACAGGAAAACAAAAAAATATCTCTCGTTCTAAAATTTAATTTGTCAGTTTCCCTTGTCTTACATAAAACCAATAAAGATCATAAAATGGTTGGCATCAAGATCCCTCGAGGATCTGTTTTATTGTGATGTTTAATAATTGATAATTGTACATAACTGTAATATGTAGTTAATTGCCGTACAATTAGCACTCTTCAGCTTATAACATGTAGTCGTGAGTTATCAAAATCCAACTCTAATTGGAAAAGAATATAAACACTTTTCTGCAACAAAAGCCTTTTTTCAATCTGCCCTTTTGTTTTTAGACATGTTCTTTTCTTTAATTCAACTTCTCACATATGTGCAGCATATTCACACACTCATACATCAGTCATGTGATGAAATCACATTCTCGCAACAGTTATGTGAAATACATTAAGACTCCCTTACAACTAAGTGATGTATTGAGGCACGTAACCTCATTTATCAGTTATGTGAAGCAGTCAGATCCTTACACATCAATTATGTGGTACCAAGTCATATTCTTACAAGTCGAAAGGGCTTCCAGATTGTTATTCTAAATGAATTAAGTACATTAGGTCTTCAAATTAGTCACATTAGCAAAATGGAAATATCTTCTAAAATGAAAATAGTGTGACTCGCTGTATGTAATTAACCTTGACCTTTTATGATGTGATGACTATTGTTTTGAGAAACTCTATTGGTAGACAATATTTTGTACCCTTTTGGTATGTTAAATATTGTTCCAGTTGATGTGACAATAATCATTGTACAGGTGTGTAGAGATCATGTTCCTTTCTTCACACTCCTCTCCATAAAATTAAAATCAACCTATACTTTATGTAATTTACAAGTTCAATAATTAACATAAGCTCTGAACAGCTTCTGCTTTGACAACACTAGGTGAAAATTGTTGTTTTTGGTGTTGAAGGAAAAGTCACTGCTAGGACCAAATTGTGGTCGTTGGTGGGGAGTTAAATGATCCAACAGATATCATGCCCTGCTGCCTGTGAGTATGGTATAGGGAAAAGTGGTCTGAAGATCATGCCTAAATTAGCAAGAACAGCTATGGGATCACCTTTAGTATATGTTGTTTCACAACTAAATAGCAGTTCCTTTCAGCATAAAATGATCTTTCCTTACAATATACCGTTGACAGTTGACCTACATGAAAGATACAGGATAGATTAGTATTACATTTCCTTCCATCCATCCTTCTTTCTCATTTGTTCACATATCAGCATTCCAGGCAATTCTAAAACTGTTTAGCTTATTGGATTTGTCTTTTTAGGTCAACAGCAAGTTATTTTTGGGCACTGTCTTCTGATGTTAATCTATCAGTCACATACTGTCCATAGCAATTGAGATAAAGTGTCTAGCCCTACAGCACAATCAGTACATAACAGACTGATCTGTTTCTCAGTTTCCTGTGAAACACAAACCACCAGGGATAGGGAGTATTGAACCACACACGTCAGATACCTGAGGCTGTGTAAGACAATGCTCTGCAGACTGCATTCATGGCCCTCTTCTTAACCATACTTAAAGTGTACCTTGAGTGGTTGCTATGTTTTGTTACTAAACACTTTATTTTATACAATAAAAGACCAAGAAAATGTGAAAGTCTGATTCCGAGATATTGTGATTGACCTGACATGCACACCTTTGACTCAACGGCAATAGCCTCAATATGGGTAGCCCATATCTGTGACGTCACAAGTATAACGCTATTGAAACAGCCTATAGGTACATACCAGGAAGCTTCCGTCATGTGTTCGATATGCAAGCTTTTTAACTACTTATGTGATATATTCCATTGACACTGACTTCTGTAGGTTACATTTAAAGTGCTACATACATAGAAAAGTGACTTTTTATTATTATTATTTCCCTGTTGAGTAGACAAGCAATGTACAGTATGTGGATGTCTGAACACACGCAGATGCTATCTAGATTGATATGCTTTCATAATTTGTGAATCTAGTGACTGTAAATGTTATACTTTTTTGTATAATCCAATTGATCTCTAGAAATTATGACCATTCCTTAATCTATATGTTGCAAACCGACAACTGTTTAAGAATTCAGTCATATTAATGAAAGTACACCCGCCTCCTCTTAGTTCTTTACAAATGCAGATAAACTATTAGAACATATACATTACAAAAATCTATACGCATAATGAGCAGCAACATGCGTATTTGAATTTGTAGTGATAAAGGCCGGAAACAAGACAAGCCAAGCTAACCAAAATGGCTAACTCAACCCTAGGATTCATGAGGAGGAATCTGAAGAATCGTCAGACAGGAAAACAACATATCTAGCATAGAGAGGAACACCAGACTAGACATAAGGTCGCTATATTTCACCACGGACTTGTGATAGATACTGTTTGTCAATGATTTCACACGATATTGCGCGTCGGATTCAAATTTCTATTTATAAATCATGGCTCTAAATCCACTATATACGTGTAGTATTTGACAAGAAGTGACGGAGTAACGGCACAAGCCCTCGCTCTCTCTAACTAATTAATCATCGAATCCCAAAAACTCCTTGTTTTTAAAAGTCGAACGAAGATTTTTTTTTTTTTTTTGGCTTTTCGAGTTGTATGTTTTATCTGAAATTGAATCATATACGTCTCTGATTGAATGCACTACCGCAAATGCGTGTGTTTACCTTTGGTGATTATGAGAATTCGTTATAAAAAAAATACCACATGAAACCAGTGTCTGCAGTGATCACATCCCTTAGTGTCATACGATTATTTAATTCCGTAGAAACAGTAGATTTCGTCGTTGAACTTCTACCGTCTATCTCCATAGTCTTTGTCATTCCCATGCTTGGCATGAGACTCTATATTCTTGCTGAAAATAAACGCATTAATGATCCTACTTTTTTCTTACTTTCACTTTACCTGCGTCCGTTCATGTAACTCGGTTTGAGTCCTGTTTGGAAAATGAGTAATTTCTCAAATGACAGAAGACAAGAGATAGACATAACTGATGCAGTAAGTATATCGTTTGAAAAAATTATACGCAAAACGTCAGCAAACGGTAAGAGTTCGAGCGGATCTCATCTTCACTCTGAAAGTTAAACTTGAGTTTATTTGTTTTTTTACTTGTTTGGTTGGTTGACAGGGTTTTCATCTCCGTGACTCCTCCAGTGTCCCGGTATCGTCTCACTGACGAACGTCAGTGTTCTGGCGACGTGTATAGAGTTTTTTAAACATCGAACCAGAGTATATATATACATGTCTGACCGAGCTAAAAACCAGAAAAGAACAAATGAATATGGATTAGGAATGCAAATTGGCCTATTATACGCCAATTGGGGTATTAATTTGTTAATGAACATAGCCATAATCGCTTTAAACTGAGCTTGTATAGCCTATCAAAAATTGTTGCCCAAATCACATTAATTTAGTCACAAGACATCATAGAACTGCAAAAATAAAAATAAAATTGCATGTGGAAAACTATGGAAAAATAGATGCAGTACTTTCAGCCTATATGGCTTATGTTACTATAGTTTAATAGGACAGGAAAATCACATGTTCCTGTCGAGTGCCTCGGAAAGGAATTGAACTAAGATATTTAACATGATAATCAACCAGCTCTACCAACTGAGCTGAAGAATAACACTATATACACCAACCTGCTCATATTACAATAGTACGTCAAGTCTCTAAGAAGCTAGCACTTTCAGTAAACATCCATTGTAAGAAAAAATTCACTTTGTCATAAATTAATGTGACTTTTAATAATATATTGCAAAAGATATTGTTTAAACAATTTTAGTTATTTTCAGTAACAAATGCATACCCCAAGTGGTGTATGGTAGACCAGTTTTCGTATTTTTCACGACCTGACAAAGATCTTTCTTCACCAGCCCATCTAGTTTCAAGCTTCAAAATCAATGCATGTCTTTCAACTTTATGAAGTGTTCATCTGAGATAAAAAAAATAAGAAAGAGTTGTCTCCTTTGTATTCCTATGCTGAATTTGTCAGTGCTCACTGTGTGTAATTGTAACAAGTCCACCATACATCCCTGGTAATAGTATTGTAACAAGTACATTCTTAGAAGTTGAACTGACCAACTCTGAACCCTAGACAAAACTTATCATTGTACAAGGTGGTTGGCAAATACCCAAATCCAGTTTTACTACATCTCCTTCAGACTATTCTCAAACCAAAAAAAAAAACACATACTTTTACTTTTGTGTATATATTTAACTAACAGTCTGCCTCCCAGCCCCCATCCAGTTATGTATGACAGAAATCTGGAAAGGAAAAACAAGTTCCAGTCAGAGTGTCAGAGTGAATGGTGAATTGGCACTGAATTTAGTTCCAATACAGTCAAAAAGATACATATTCATAAAATGGGAAACAATTAATTTTGAATGGTTGTTGTTTGGGATGGAATGAATATCTTCTGTGCAAGCATTTTTTAATATTGACTACGTCTCTATATACACAGCGTGACGATCTCCTGGCCTGTGTGAAACCTGGAAAGTACTTGTGCGCCGGAGTATTCATCACAAGTGAGTCATATTCTGTGTGGTCAAGACAATTTGTGCTCTATACGATGTTGACTTACTCTGTAATTTTCAAAATACTGAATCCATTGAAATGATCATTATACAAATATTAATGCTGAATGCCAGCTTCCACCTACCCAGTCAAAATCATAATGTTGTCTGGGCTTCAATATTACAGCCAGAATAGTTAAGGTTTTAGGGGGACTGGGTAACATCAGTTATCCAATTTCAATGTGAAGTATATCTTTTATGTTTATGTAAATTGTGAGTTTTAAATTTCAACATCTATGCCCATACCTCTTACTGAAAAAAGTAAGGTAAAGACCATGAAGCAATACCCATATTTAGTAGTAAATTTATCTTGTGTCCAGCCATTTATTTGCATATATCACCAGTGTATTATAACATTGAGCAATTTTCATTGGCTGCACTAATCAGAAAGTGATTGTGATGTCATGATATATGGACAATGATGTTAGGTAATGAACTAAACATGGCCCAACAAAATGGCTGCCTCCATTTGAAATCTTCCTTAACATAATATTTCTATGTTATGTGATAAAAAGTATCTTAAATTTGACTTCATTGGATGTAATATTTTATGTGATATTTTACTGAAATTAATTACAAATTATTATCTTTTAAGGTTTTTCTATTTTTCTTCAGCACTGGGTGCAGCTTATGCTTCACAAGAAATTTATATGTACAGAACAAAGAACTTTGTAAAGAGCCGAAACCGATGGTTACTTCCATTTGGAGCAGCTTTTATAGCCTCTTATGGTTTCTTTATAAACATCTATCTCAAATGTAGGAAAGAAGTGCTGAAGGACTATCCCCAGTTAAACAAGACTAGACAGCCATCTTCATCTAGTAGTCCAAAATCAACTGAATTTGATGGTATTTGGTTTTGAAGTTTGGTTAGGAAGAGCTTTCATTTATTTCCCACAATTTTTTTCGTTTACATAAAAAACATAATTTTATCTGAAACTAGTGCTTTTATGATGTCAAGTTTAATGGTTAAATACACATTCATGCATGCATTCATTTTCTGGTAATACGCAATTAATATTAGGTAAAGACTAAAGATGGTTTAGGGTTATACACCCAGTGTCATATATAAATATATTGAAACAAATGTCACTTTTTTTTATCAGTGCCAGGATAGACCTAGGTATAAGTAGATGTTAAGTGTCTGGTACTAGACAGCTTAAGTTTAACTAATGAGCCAAATAGTTCAACTTTATATTGTGATTATGACTTTTTGGCGAAATCTCAATAAATGAATAATTAAAAAAAAAAAGAAATAAATAAATACCAGGTTTGTGGTAATCATCTCATCCTTTTTCTTATTCTTTTTATTTCAGATGACGAAACTTCAAGCACGTAGAAAGAAAGAGAATGTGTATTTAAACACTTTATTAAAGGATGGCCATGCCCCAAGGGAGATAATTACCTAGTTGTATATACATAGTGAACAGCTGTCAGTGATTGTTTGTTTGGCCATTTGTCATCCTGTTGTGTGTGAAACAGTTTGCAAGACTGCTCAAGACTGTTCAAGATCAAACTATATTCTGTTTGTCTACCTCACGCTCTGAAACATGCATACAATACATTGTGGAATGACACTGTACTTTGATCGAGACTTGATTAATCTTCATTCATTAAGCATTCTAGCTGTTAATTTGATAATGGAGAAAAGCATATGATGTGTAGATTATGTAATGAAAACATGTTAGCTTATCATTTAAAGTTGTCATCAAAATGTAAAAGTTGCATCTCTTTAAGTGGAACACTGACCCAGATAAGCATGTACTGGGATCCATCTTGTATAAATGTTAGATCTCTGGCCCCAAGGGTTTGGAGGGATGGGACCCAATTTAAAATCCTACTCCTCTTGTAAGAATGATTAGGTACTGCCCAAATTTAATCTGAAGCAGTCTTGGGTAAAGGGGAATCAATTTTGTATAAATAGCAGGTCTCGGCCCCCTGGGGCGGGGCCCAATAAGGGAAAAGAGGAAATCCTACTCATCCTGTAGAAATTAACAAGTAGAATAAGGATGGAGCATCAACACCTGAAGGATACCTAGTTAAAAGAATTATTATTTTGTATCAACCTGGAGTTTAACATATCTGAGATTTGGGGCCCAACAGGGGAAATGTAAGTTTGGTCTAAAGCAATTTTTATGATTGTGAATCTGACTTCACTTTGACCACAAGGCTAGGACCCAATAAAGAGATATCATTTCAAAAATGATTTGTCATATTTGAAATTCTTTGTGAAGTATATGAATAGCTGAATTAGCAAAATGAGAGATGCAGATCTCTTGAGCCTCTTATTTATAATTTATAGAAGCAGAATAAAATGCAAGCAAAATGTCAACGGTGTCAGTATATTTTCAAACACTAACACATATCTCATTTTAAACGTTGTTCTAAGTCCTGTGAATAACTACTGTAAGATGGACAAGATCTCATCATCATAACAAAAAGTATTTGTTTACTTCCACGTGATTACACATTGTAAAAGATAAAAAGTACCCATAAACAGCACAAATACACAATGTTATATGTCACACTAAACTGTCTCAATTAATCAAAGAGAACAATCGCCAAGGTAGAATTATATACAAGGGTATCACACATCCCTCAAATGTGCACTGTCATCCAGTATGGTAGTTTTAGCCAACACACATAAAAGTGCATCTGCAACAATACGTTCTTTTTGAGATCTCATTTTAATTTGGTGTTTGCCAGATTAGTATGCAAAACCAATTTATTCACCCTTTTATTTATTCATAACTGTATCTAGCTCATGGCAACCCTTGACAAATGTTTGATTGTTTAGAGGAATATGAATACTCAAGTCAGAAAGAAACAGAGGTAAAAAGGAATTGTCTTTGGTTTATGAAAAGAGGACCATGCAGAAAGAAGTGAGATCAATCTTCAACTGGATGACCATTTTAATTAGTTTGTACTTGACATTCTTCTGAAATCATAAAATTTATATAAAAATTATGGGGCTGGATGCCCTCCTCATCCATATTTTAAAATTTCTTTTGTTACTGGATTTTCCTCTTTGTACCTGAGTTTGATGTAAACCCAACCTTCCCAGGAAATGATGTGTAGCTTTTGTAATTCATATTTTGTCATTAAGTGACATTTTTAGATCACCATTTCAAAGTATATCAACATTAATATCTCATTCATACCATTTGAATTTTAATTCGAATATTGTCACATATAGGACAAATAAAAAAAAATGATAAGAATTTTCAGGGATGCATTGACACTGAGTTGAATTGATATTTAATGCTTGCTCAGTCTCTCAGACTATAATGAAGAAGCATTGACAGACCTTGAAGAAGGAGAGTTTCTAATACTGCTACTTAAACTAGAATCATTCCAAAGTTTCTTTGCAGAAGGAAAGCATGAATTTACAACAGTTGTATGTGGAAATGTTGTTGTCTCAATAGCTGTGTGTTTTGTAGATTGTATGAACCTAAATTTCCAACATCCATTGGCAATAAGTCTGAAAGAAAATTAGGTGCACAGTTATTCATTATACAATAGAATAAAGACAGTGAAGAAGTGATCCCAAGATTCCAAAGTTGTTCAGTTGATATACAAGACCCTTATGCCATACTCTGTCAAAGGCTTTAGAAAAATCACAAAATGTCAAACTAGAGTGCTCAAGAGTTTTAGAGGAACTATTGAGTGATAGAACTCGATAAACTTCGGAGTTGTGGAGTGGTTCGGCGAAAATACATATTTAAACATAGGAAAATATGACATAGGTTTATGCCATACCACTGAAATTATTTTTAAACATTCCACTGTTACCTGTTCAGCCTATGAATTCTAGCACCAGAAGTATTTTCTATAGCACCAAGCTTAGCGATATAAAAAAAGGTATTTAATTTAGTTTTATAACTGAAATTCATCTCTTAATGAACTCCACAATTTTAGCTGTTTTGTTTTCCTAAATTTAAAATGCAGCTGCAAATTGAAATAGATAATCCTCCTTTGATTTTAAAGGAAATGTTCAACTTTGATAGTTTCATCTCTATATGAAAAAACCCACGTCCCTTTCCCTGGAAACACATCATGCCGTTCATTGCCCACACAAGTTCTGTTCATGAACCCACCACCTATCTGATTTTTCTACAAAAACTAAGCAAGAGAAGTGGAGAAAATTTATATCAAATTGGTATAGTTATCACCCTTAACATCCGTTTTGAATTTTTAAAATTTAATTTCCGTGTTTAATCATTTTATCTTAATATCAGTGTAAGTTAATTATTGGTCGCGGTTTTATTGATACTATTTTGATTCATTTATTTATAACCTTTTTTTTTCTTTTTTTTATGATCTTACGGAATTGAAAAAGAACAAAAAATAACACTACATGTAGTACATATTGAATGGTGTTACTGTTACTATCTTTACATAAAACTGAAAGCTTAAGGGAATAACCATACTTAGTAATTCCACATGCATCACTTGCATATAAAAATGAACAATGGGTAAACTTTTATTAGAAAATCAATATGAATGATAATGGGTCCATTCGAAATTGTGACCAAATCAAACAAGATGAACGAAGAAAGCCTCGTAAATCTCACTTAGTATAAAAGAAGCGGCAGCGAAACAACAGCGATTGAAAATTCCGGAATGTATGCCGTTTTCATTTTAGTGGAAGAAACGGAAGTTGACATTCTTCAGCTAGTGATAACGCCACGGGTGTACAACCAAGGATGTCAGGGTCAAAGTCTACACTGACTATCGCCAGGCTAGTCAGAGACGTTACATACATTTTCATTGACAACATGGTGTTAGTTAAATGTGCGGCTTTTTTCGGCTTGGGAGCTGCTCTGTCGTATGGCATAGGTTTATCCTGCACCTTGACAACACTGCTGGTCTTCGGTGTTTACCTTGTCACAGGCGGCTGGCGTTTTACATGGGTCGTTATAAACACTCTCCCAAGAGATCTCAGGTAATGTTACCCGTCACTTTGCACTATGTTTACCAACTATCACGAGATTACCAACTGGTCCGAATCAGACGTTACATGCACTAGTCATACAACAGAGGACTAGACTAATCAATTAGGGGCTAGCTAACTCAATGAAAATGTCTCTTTGTGCTAATACACAGGTTATTTTTTTTCAGAAGAACTGGCCATCATTCTCGAACCAAATGAGTTTTTTTGTTTTTTTTTCCAGAAAAATAATTAATCTTTAAAAAAAAGGAAATAATGTATATATAAAACGAAAACTAAAAAAAAAACCTCATCTTATGCATTGATTTCTCAGATTTTGACTTCTTAAAAAAAAAATAATTAATTTGCTGAAAAGTTTTGTGTCATTTGTGAGTATGGCTGTCAGTATAACTTTTAAAGATGACAATATCCAAGAGGGAATATTGATGTGATATTTATCTAAATAGTCTTAATAAAGGCTTTTGATAAGGTTCTCATCGTTGCCTCTTACACAACTTAAGTTTCACGAATATAGAATTGGGTCATATCTAAAGAACTTTTGAATAATAGACATGAAAGAGTAGTCCATCCTCGAAACTCCAGGGGTTGCAACCACTTTGGGTCTCTGCACCCATGAAACTTGTGGCAAAATTGTAGGCACAAGTGAAGTAATTTGATTCATTCCTGGAGAACAAAAACTGACCAATCATAGGGTTATACACTGCTTTTGAAGATTACGAAGCAATATCCAACTTAAAAGCCAGAATAATATATACCATTATTGGACCTCGAGATTTGCTTGATGTACGTAAGGGATCAAACTAGTTTTTCGTCTTGTCCACAATGTGTTGCACATGTATTCTTCTGTTTTGCAAAGACATGTTCTAGAGGTACAGATAACAAAAGTGATTGTAATCCCTGGAGTATCTAGGATGAAAATAGTCATAAATGTTTCATCATCAAAAATCACAAAATACTCCGTGGAATTCCACAAGGAAGTGTACAAGGGCAAATTTTATTTGTCATTTATATCAAAGATATGTCAGAGAATACTGTGTCATCATGTCCCCTTTTTGTTGATGACACAAAAATTACACTGTAAAAACTGGAAATCAGGATGACATGAATATTCTACAACAGGATTTAGATCAGCTGCAGAAATGGTGGAATGATTGGTTATTAAAATTTCACTCTAATAGATGTAAAGCACTATATATAAGGAAATCAGGGTAAAAAGAACATAACTCATGAAAGAACAGAATGATAGACATGAAATTTTAGAAAGTTCAAGACCTGGGTGTGATGGTAAATAATGGATAAAATTTTCAAAACCATATGCAAAATTCTGACAACAAAGCAAACTCAGTGTTGGGCCTTCTCTGAAGATCCTTTATAAGCCCTGATGAAACCATGTTTTATCAATTCAAAGCATTGGTTAGGCCACATCTAAAATGTGCAGCATGTATTTGGAACCTCTATGAAACAAAAGACATATGGATGATAGAAAACATACACTGAAGAGCCACCAAATTAATACCAGGATTTTAAGAAGTATATCATTTGAGGAAGTGACTACAGAAACCACAGCTCCCTACTCTGATGTATAAAAGAATGAGATGAGGCTTGATAACTGACAATGAAATAATTGATAAACAGTTTGATAAACAATTCTTTAAACCTGATTATCTTTGATACTAATGAAAGAACTCAAGGTCATGATTTTAAACTGTATACCATCATAATGCAGATTCAAGCAAAATTCTTATACATTTATTGACAAACAGAATAGTCCACCTGTTCACGTGGTAAATGCAAAAACTGTCAGGACATCTATTGGATGATCATTTCAAGAACATAATTTATGACTTTTAATTAATATGATATGTACATTTTCATAAAACCTAATGAAGATTGAAGATGAAGATGACAGGGTTTAAGATGTCTTTTGTATAGTGTTGGAAGTTTTATTTACTAAAGGATGTGAAGAGATCTTGAAATGGTGGATGGCAAGGTCAATCCCCACCCCTGGTTTTTTCAAAATGGGCTATCCAGATACTAGATATTCCCTTTTTCATAATACATAGTATTCCCTGAATTCTAGATTAAACCCTGTCTATGATTAATTGCAATGTGATACATACTAAAACTAGCCACATCTACATTCTGACAGAAAGATAAGTCATTAATACAACTTTAGGTAGATACAGGTATTCTGTGGTTGTTTGTATACTTTATATTATGGAATTTTGAAATCTTACTTTGTTTTACATTTCAGGGGGTTGTCTGTATTATTGAAAACAAAGTTTATTATAAGAGACCATTTAAGATCAGGAACAACAATAGCAAAGTTATTTACCAAGTCTGCAAACAAGTATCCAAACAAAGCCTGCATCTTGTTTGAGGATGAAGTCTGGACATTTCAAGAAGTTGAGGCATACTCCAACTCGATTGCAAATTATTTTTACAATGCAGGATTTCAGAAGGGAGATGTGGTATCTATATATATGGATAACAGACCACAATATTTCTGTCTCTGGCTTGGATTGTCTAAGATAGGAGTAATTTCTGCTCTGATCAATTACAACCTCCGTAAGCAGCAACTCACCCACTCGATAACCACAGCAGAATCTAGGGCAGTCATCTTTGGAAGAGAGTTCACTGATGGTAAATTTTCATTCCAAAATGGTTACCACTTTTTCTTCGTTATATGTTTTAAGTTTTCAAGGTTGCATAGGAATTTATATACAAGAAATAAATTATATTAAGGTAAAGAAACCCGTCAAATTTCTTTTGGTAATATATGCAGGCCTTGAAAAGATGCTAAGCATATGCATATGAAATTAACATGTGGGCATAAACAGGAATAAATGTCATTCTGATCAATAAGGCTATTTGGGAATGGATCAATGGTAAAGCGATTTATTGGGAAAGGGGGATAAATCATAGTGTACAGATTTGGATATATGATCATGAACCTCTCTAACTTTAAACCTGAAACTGTTTCTGTTGAATAAAATTATATTTGTGAATATTGTAAAGTTAATCCTAAAATTTTGTTTTTAGATATAAAGGAGGCAGTGCATGGAATTGGAAGGCTAAAACTGTATGTTACTGGAACCAACAGTTTAAATGACCCATCGATAACATGTCTGGACCCATTACTTGAAAAGAGCTCAAAATTTAATCCTCCAACTGTTCCTGGAAATTTCAGTGGTAAGATAGTGTTTACTTTGTCTAATTTTGTCCTTCCTGTGAGAAAAATTTGACTTTGTCATAAAAACATTAACAAATAAGCTGAATTATTAACATTTCATTGATTGAGAACAATTAACAACTTATTGTTTTCTAGAAATGTGAATGAAAACTGGGGTAATACAATTTATGAACCTCCAATATAGCATATAAATGATTGCTTATCTTATTGTGTTCTATTTATTTTATTTATAATTTCCAAGGGCAGGCAGACAGCACTCTTTCAAAACATCAAGCCTAAAAAGAAAGCACTTTTGAAGGCTTCCTTTTCACAAAGCAATATCTCTAAATAAAAATAATGTATATGTGTAGATTTAGTTGCTCTTTCTTATGGAAATAAAAGATTTTAGAAATCATGCACATTTATGAAGATTCATTCATAATCTACTCTTAAATGTTAATATCTTGAAACAATTTTGTCAGTACATGTATGTCTGATAGTGAGAGCTATTGTCTAAAGTCATCAGCACAGGTACTGGGTAAATTGTTACAAGCCTATTTGGACCTTACCTGACATGTGTATAACAAGTTCCTTGGTCCCTGTGGTCAGTAGTATGTAATGGTATTGTTTTTAAATCTTACAGAGAAATTGTTTCTAGTGTTTACATCAGGAACAACAGGACTACCTAAGGCTGCTGTTATCACACACACAAGGTAACAATGTACAAACAGAAAAGTATAAAGCTGCCATGAATGTTTAAATCTTTTAATGAACAGAGGATGTAGATTGTAATTACTAATTACACAGGTATGCTTAAACCATATCACTAAACATGCTTCAGTTATTGGGATACTACTGTTATATAATAAACATACTTCAGACTTTTAAAGATCAACAAAATGTGATTACTGGCCCCTAATTCTACATTTACATTTCATTGACAGGTTTTTCTACATGTCCTTTGCCATCCAGCAGATGTACCGTCTATCAGGGAAAGACACACTTTACACCTCTCTTCCCTTATATCACACTGCTGGAGGCATTCTGGGGGTGGGGCAGGTTGTCCTGGGTGGAACCACTCTAGCTATCCGTCGCAAATTTTCTGCCAGCAAGTTTTGGGAGGACTGTGTGAGATATAACTGCACTGTAAGTAAATAAGTGTGTGTTTGTGTACTGATTTCCATTATAGTTCAGTGTTTTTTATATTATTGTAAAATTTTTATCTTCATTTTTTGCAGGCTGCTCAGTACATAGGTGAAATATGTCGGTATTTACTTGCTCAACCACATCGTAACTTTGATCGTCAACACAAAGTGAGGCTTATGTTTGGTAATGGTCTGCGCCCACAGATATGGCAGGAATTTCAAGATCGATTTGGTGTTCAACAGATGGGAGAGTTCTATGGTGCCACTGAAGGCAACTGTAACACATGTAAGTGTTGTATACTTTAGATTGAAGTCAATTTCGTGGTGATCTTCACTCTTGACCTACTCAACCTGTGTCAGAACTACAAGACAAACTGTGGACAGTATTATATATAGATTAAAACTTTCTAAACGATAAGTGAAAGATGCAAAATCCAAAACGTTCTTCCATTTTCACATGTATTTTTATCTTCTGGCCACATGATGTCACATAATTATTTAAAGTTCTTCTAAAAACTTTACACAATGGTTTCAATGTAGTTCCATTAATGTCAGGAAAATTCCAATACTGCACTATATAACTTAAAAATTATAAGGAAATTGGCTTTGTGGTTTAAATCTACAACTTATTTATTTCAAAGATAATAATTTTTGTACTTTCAGCTGAAGTTTTATTCATAGCATTTTATTTTCAGGGTTTTTCTGTTGCCATAAAAAGAATGAACATAATATACAGTTATGTAATTAATGTCTTGTTATAATATTCTGTTGTCGTTGATTAACAGTAAACCCAGACAATAAGGTAGGAGCTGTGGGTTTCACCACCATGATAGCTCCATTCTTGTACCCCATCACACTCATACGAGTAGATGAACAGGGCGAACCAATTCGTGACCGAAACGGTGTCTGCATCAGAGCGAAGCCAGGTAAAATGCTTTGTACATGTTGTGATATTTCAGTAATTTGAATAATCATTATTTCATTCATATTATCTGTGTAAATAGATAGCCCACAATACAGTACAACTCTCTGTGTAAATAGATAGCCCACAATACAGTACAACTCTCTGTGTAAATAGATAGCCCACAATACAGTACAACTCTCTGTGTAAATAGATAGCCCACAATACAGTACAACTCTCTGTGTAAAGGGATAGCCCACAATACAGTACAACTCTCTGTGTAAATAGATAGCCCACAATACAGTACAACTCTCAGTGTAAAGGGATAGCCCACAATACAGTACAACTCTCTGTGTAAAGGGATAGCCCACAATACAGTACAACTATCTGTGTAAAGGGATAGCCCACAATACAGTACAACTATCTGTGTAAATAGATAGCCCACAATACAGTACAACTCGCTGTGTAAATAGATAGCCCACAATACAGTACAACTCTCTGTGTAAAGGCAGTGCAACTATCTGTGTAAAGGGATAGCCCACAATACAGTACAACTCTCTGTGTAAAGGCAGTACAACTATCTGTGTAAAGGGATAGCCCACAATACAGTACAACTCTCTGTGTAAAGGGATAGCCCACAATACAGTACAACTGTCTGTGTAAAGGGATTGCCCACAATACAGTACAACTATCTGTGTAAAGGGATAGCCCACAATACAGTACAACTATCTGTGTAAAGGGATAGCCCACAATACAGTACAACTCTCTGTGTAAAGGGATAGCCCACAATACAGTACAACTATCTGTGTAAAGGGATTGCCCACAATACAGTACTACAGTATCTTACATCAGTTTCCATTTCATACTGGTTTGTGGATTATGAAAGAAGTTTAAAAAAAAAAGATTTTGAGTCTTTAGCAAGCATAAACGAGAAATTATCATGTGTTACATATGTCACATATAAATGGATGAAAACAACTGTTTTCCTTTTAAGGAAATGAACAACAATTATGACAGATATTGCAGAAAATGTACTTTTCCTTGTTAACTAAATAATCCTCTCATGTTTATATACATATATATATATGGTGGCCATTGTTATGTCAGTATTATGTAAAAGCTTAATTTATGAGTGTGTGACATCGTTTCAGAAATAGATATTGGGATAGTCCTAACTTCTCAACTGGCTTTGTTACATGAGATAATACACATATTACTTTATGAGTATATTTACTGAGCAATTAGGTGATAAATATAGTTATGAAGTAAATAACAATTGTAATCTATTGAAATTCCACACATCATAAACAGGTACTTGGCAATAGGACATTGTCTAATTTGGAAGGCAGAGATTTTCATTCTGAGTGAAAACGGCCATTAATTCTTTATTATCTGGAACTCTCTACAAACATGACAAATGAGGTGTATCATAGGTATTTGGTTTATGTTGTAAAATGTAAATCTGCTTGTAGGTGAACGAGGAGAGCTGGTAGGGAAGATTGTGAAAGGTGATGCTTTACGAGAATTTGATGGCTACATTAACAAGACAGCAACCAACAAGAAGATTTGTGCCAATGTTTTCAAGAAAGGTGATTTGGCATTCCTCACAGGAGATGTGTTGATCATGGATCAATTTGGCTACTTCTACTTCCAGGACCGCACTGGCGACACATTCCGATGGCGTGGCGAGAATGTGTCTACTACGGAGGTGGAAGCTGTCATCAGTAACATCGTCAAACTCTGTGACTCGGTTGTATATGGAGTAGAAGTACCAGGTATGGGGATATTGTTATCATCTTCATATTTTACAGGATAATTTCAAATAACTATAACAAGATTTTTTTGAAATGTTCTTAAAAATATATTTCTTGTCACTAATTGTATAACATTCGAACATGAGATTTTTTTGTGAAGTTTTACTGTAAACAAAATTGCTTGTAGTACACTGACCCTCTTCAGTTAAGTGTCTCTCTCAGACGTCTTTTGTTACACTGTTCAACTTTTTATGATTGTTGCAGGCTGCTAATGGTATCACAATTTTCAGTTAAAACTGTCAGGGCCTGGAGGATCACTTTATAGGGAAAGAATTATTTTCATATTCGAAGAGTAAATGGTGTAATATTTTTTTTGTCTCCGGGATACTCATCTTAAAATTGGGGGGAAAAAACATTAATAGAAGTGATTGGGGCTTTGAATGTTGTTATAACTTATATAAATGTAACATAAGGGGAGTAGCTATATTTAGGCACAATAATTTTGAATTTTAGGTTTAAAGGATAAGAAGAATGTTACTAATGATTTTTTAGCTATTGACTTTAATGCTTAGGGATTAGCTATATTTATGAACAATGATTTTTATTTTTAAAATTACAAGGAAAAGGAAGATGGTACTGGTAATCTTTTAGCTATTGACGTTAGTATTGGAGGCTCAAAGAGTAACACTAATTACTTTGTATGGTCCTAATCATGATAGCCCAGCTTTTTACTACTGTGCTGATTTTAATCTAGTTTTGAAACCAGACATAGTAATTATAAACATAAGTAATTCAAAAGCTAGAGAAAATGTGTGTGATAGATGATATATTTCGGAAACATCATGAGCATATTTAAGATATATTGGTGAAAGAGTAATCCATTTAAACAGGTTAGTTTAGATTTTTAGGTCACCTAAGAAAGGTCTCATGGTGATCTATTGTGATACCCTTTTGTCCAATGACACTTGTCCGTCCTTAAACATTAGTTAGAATTGTTAGTATACAATGACATTTCAATGTTATGCACATATTGACCCCATCTGACCCCCAGAATTAAAAGATAAAAGGGTATTATTATACCCGGAGATGCAATTGTAAAAGGAAAAATGATAAGAGTCCAGGTTTGGATGGTTTTACTGCAGAATTCTATCAGATGTTTCTGGAAACAATGAGAAACTTTGTTGTTAGGTCCTTGAATATTGGTTATAATAAAACAAACTTTCTATTACACATAGACAGGGTATTATTACTTGCATACCAAAAGGAGATAAACCTAGACATTATATTTAAAACTGGTGACCTATAACATTTCAAATATTATTTACAAAATAGCATCAGGGGTTGTGGCAAATAGGGTAAAGTCTGTTTTAGGTAAACATGTACAAGGTCAAACATGATTTTTAACAGGGTGCTACATAGGGAAAATACTAGACTCATTTATGACATAATAAATGAACTTTACTGAAGAAAACAGTATACACTGTACTACAAGTGCTTCTTATCATAGACTTTGAAGAAAACCTTTTGATTCTGTCTCATGGGAATATATAAACAAAACACTTGAATATTATTTTTTGGATTTGTGTAAGTATATAAAGTATATGTATGTACATAAATATTTGATACAATTTCACTGTCACATGCCTGGGTAGTTACAAAATAATGATGATTGTATTTATCTCATCACTACTATATATTACATCGGAGTGATCTGAAATAATTTAACAAGGTGTTAACATTTTTGATTTTCCTCAGGCGTAGAAGGAAGAGCAGGAATGGTAGCTATTGAGGATCAAAATGACAATTTAGATTTACGTCACCTACAGACAGAACTACAGAAGTGTCTTGCCTCATATGCTCGGCCTGTGTTTGTTCGTCTGTTAAAAACTGTCGCCACTACAGGTAAGTGTCCTGTAATATATCAGAAGTCACTTTAGGCCTACTCCACAAATTACATATTAGGACGAATGATTATGACATTTTTATGTCACATGAGATGAAATGGTGTTTGTCTGTCCATCAGATATGTGGTTACCCTATTGATTACGAAATGATGTCAGTCTGTCCATCAGAGATGTGGATACCCTATTGACTATGAAATGATGTTTGTCTGTCTGTCCATTAGAGATGTGGTTACCCTATTGATTATGAAATGATGTCTGTCTGTCCATCAGAGATGTGATATTCGTTTTGATTACGAAATAGTGTCTGTCTATCAAACAAAGCTCTGGTTGCCTATTGAAGTGGTGTCTGTCTGTAAAACTAAGTGCTGGTTGCTCGATTGAAATGGTGTCTGCCTTTTAACCAAAGCTCTGGTTTCCCTATTGAAATGGTGTCTGTCTGTCAACCAACGTTTTGGTTGCCGATTGAAATGGTGTCTGCCTTTTAACCAAAGCTCTGGTTGCCCTATTGAAATGGTGTTGGTCTATTAACCAAAGCTCTGGTTGCCTATTGAAATGGTGTCTGTTTATTAACCAAAGCTCTGGTTGCCCTATTGAAATGGTGTTGGTCTATTAACCAAAGCTCTGGTTGCCTATTGAAATGGTGTCTGTTTATTAACCAAAGCTCTGGTTGCCATATTGAAATGGTGTCTGTTGGTCTTTCCATTCAAAGCCTGGTCTGTTTCTCTTGGGATCATGATTGACTTTGATGTAATTGATATGTAAAGATTAGGATGGTAAAGCCTTAAGGTCATTACATAAAATATACTCATGCTACCAGGATCACAGGTTGCATGTGTATATACACCTACTTTAGGAATGTATATTCAGGGTATTTAGAGATAAGACATATATATATGAGACAGGATTAGATTTTCTCACCCACTGAAAGACTGAAAGACTTTAATAGTGAAAGGAAAAACCTGTTAAATAAATACACAGGTATATTTTTTTGAGTCTTAACCAAAAGATGTACATTTATTTACAATATAACCTAACTTTTGAAGACATTATTTTATCATAATTGTTTAAATATGCAGTGTTTGTGTAGACCATGTGGTACTCTTGTTATCAGACAATTTATGTTTACATTATAGTGATGTGATAAAATTGTATCTATGTTATATAAGTTTAATGTACTGTTATTTTGAAGTGCACTACATAGAAAAATGTTTTAGTAGGAAGTAATTTGGTAATATTAGGCAGGGCGATTTGTAAGAGTTGTTAAGGTGATTACTATTTGTTGTAGTTCATATGTTATAGGATGCTGGATAAGTCAACAACCACAAAAATCTGAAACAGATTGTCTACTAATACTGCTATTTAACATCAGATATGTCCCTTTAAAGCTTTCTCAATATATGTAGATTCTTATTGTGGTTTCAGTATGTACAGAATTTTGAATTGAGAATATCTTTGTTGATTTTACAGGGACATTTAAGTTGAAAAAGGTGGAGTTACGACAGGAAGGATTTGACCCTAACAAGTTGAAGGACAGACTATTTTATATGAACTCGAAGAGTGGCAGCTATGAACCAATCACATCACAGGTGTATAGGGACATTTGTAGTGGTAAAATTCGCCTGTAGATGTTGGACAGCTAGATAATTAAACAATTATCCTCAGGAACAAATCACCTTCCATGTAAATGATGTGATATGGAAATTCCTTCCATGGAAGCCTGTCAGTATGCTCATAGTTTTCTCATTTCTACTCCCAAGAGAATTACGATATTGTCAGATTTCAAGTGATATGTGTATAGCAAAATGTTAATATTATCAAAGTCCCATGGTTTCCTTTTTCATGTCCTTTCTACGTGTAATCCGAGTGTATTCACTCTTGAAACCCAAAATGGTCAGTGGGCAAATATTGGCAATATAAAAAGATTTTGGAGTGAAAATGGGTAGTAGAGCAGTGTTTTTCTGGCTAAATGGGACAGTATGAGAATGTATTCCTGGATGAAAGTTGGCAGTATAACAAGTTTTTTTTAGTACAGTGTTGGCAGTATAATAAGGTTTTACTGAACAATTGGTGGCATTATAACAAGGCCTTACTGGGTGAATGTTTTCAATACAACAAGGTTTTACTTAATGAATGTTTGGAGTGTAACAAGATTTTACTGGACAAATGGCAGTTTTGTAGTACAATGATGTTAATATAGCAAAGTTTTACTTAACCATTGTTTTCACTATGCTAAAACTTAATAATGTGTTTGGCACACACAAAATGTTTCCATCAATCACCTTACATACTTTGAAATAACTAGATGAGGGGTGCAGAATCCTACCTAGTTTCCACCATTGAAGACATAACAACAATGACTGTTCACCCATTACTTGAAATCTTGACCCACTAATAATGTACATGAATTGAACTAATATTTTAGACAGGTGCAGATTAATTTCATTAGATGTTATAAATCATCCCTACCCTTTATGTCCCGGTTTTCTACCTTCTTATGTTTTTTCTTGTTTCACAAAGAAGTGAAGGGAGTGTGTTAACATTAGGGCTGTAATGATATACTGATATACTGGTATAAATTATGTATATCATGCTACAAAAACACATATTGGTATATCACATAATATCACATTTTCAACATTTTTTATTTATTAATTTGTTAAGTTTCTTATAAGTAAAACCTTTATCTTAACATGAAATGGCCCTGCATGTTCATTAATAACTTAGACACTTTCAAAAATGAAGCGTTTGTAAAAATGAAGTGTTTGTGTGACCCTGTAAGTGCTTGTAAAAATGAAGTGTTTGTGTGACCCTGTAAGTGCTTGTAAAAATGAAGTGTTTGCATTTTGAAACTGTGAATCAATTGGTAACATAAGATTGTGATAGTAATCCATTTAAGAACATAGATGCACAGTTAATGGCAAAACTAATAATAATGAAAGGTGATTAATTATGTTGTGATATAGTCATAATGTATCATGATACACCACGATGCACTTTAGCCGTATCATAACACCCCTAGTATACATCCCTGATATAGGAATTGTTAATGGTTAGTGACCATTAAGTATAGCCATTTCTTCTCGAATAAATACTTTATATTTGTTACATCCTTGATCTGGTGTAGTAGGGTTTGTCATTGTTGCACTGTGTTTAAGTTATAATTACAATATCATTTGGATAGAAGTCTTGAAAATATTTGTTAATACCAAGAATTGTGCAATAAGGTTTCTTATCCAGGAAGTTCAATGTTGGGAAAGAAAATGTGTTGGGTAAAGAAATTTAAAATTGAACCATATGAAAAGGTGTCTAGATATTTTATAGTGCAATTTCCTGTTTCATCAACTCAACATTGATGAATCTTTATGATGACATGGATGGGTCACTTCTCTACGTGACTTTTCTTCAGGGGACATGTATGGGTATTTGATTGTTGGTAGTTGAACTGCTGTATATATTGAAGGTTTACAGTACATGTAGGTGTTATTACAACTTATTTAGGCTTTAAATATTCAGTGGCATTTTAGAACAATGTGATGTCACTTATTAAACAGATATTATCACTAAGTAAAATGTAGATCCTTTTTAGTGGTTGGCTACAAAACGACCTTTTTAGATAAATGATATATCACAAAATGATATAATGATATGAATTAGAGACATCAATGAGTTATTTTGTGATAATTGATATCACTAACAGGGATCAATTTATGAAATATTTTCTTGATTGAGGGGAGATTTCCCTGTTCTAATTTTTGTTTTGTAAATGAAAGTGAAAAAATGAAATTGACATAACTCTAAATATTTCTTAATGAGTTGACAAACAATTGTAATACCAACACATATATATATGTTTAGGTAAATTTCTTACACAATTTTACACCATAAATTCATTTTTAGAGAAATCTTTTTACAAAAAGAAGTTATCTTTTAAAATTAGGGGAAATTTTTTTTCATGAAATATCTGGGGAGAAATTTTCTGATAAAATGTTGGCCTAGAGTAATCACAGACCAATTCAATTTATTAATTTAATTCAATCAATTTATTGTTAAAACTTATTTAAATTTATTAGTATGAAGTGATATATAATTGAATAAGTGATATCATATTTTGTAGGTGAAGATTATATTAGCACCCATACCAAAACGTGTACAGCATTTTCACTCTGTCCTTTTTATCTGGATTTTTTATGAAGATTCCATGCGACTTTTTTCTTTCTTTTTTTTTTTATTTAACAGATGTAAATATTCTCTTGGCCATATTTGGCTCTTCATGGAAAACCATTTTTTCATAATTTAGCATGTGAATATTGAACATGTATTCACATGCTAAATTATGAGATGTATTTCTAGCAAAATAAACATGTAGGTGTTACCTTGCTTGTGTAATGTGTAACTAGACTGAACAAATTTGTTTTGATTTGGCAAAGGACATTGATAAAGAAGAGACATGTTGATTGATTCTTTTTGTAATGGTTTGTTTACCTTAGTTATTCCAGCAAGACTTGAGTATGAATGTTAGTAAAGTGAAATAACATAAGTTAAATAAGTTAACTTGCTGAATATTCATTGAATGATTAATCAGAACACTGCTTTGTGAGGATGTATGATCAACTATTATGCCGACATTGTGATATACATGTTTATCTGTACGTTTGTGATGTGTAGTATACCAATACACTCCCTGTATGTAGTATTTTTGTATGTACAAATATACTGATTTTATAGTGTAATTGTGCTGTTTGTCTATGTCTCTCCAGAAGTATTCGAAATTATCTCTGTGCAAGAAAGTTTTGTCAGAAAAATTTTGATTTCCTGTTATAACTTCGTGTATTTGGCATTTGATACTGTCATACAAGTGAAGCATAACAAGTGTGTGTTTTTGACTGATGGCCTGATATGGTGTTGGATTATAGTTCAGAGGTCCTAGGTTCAAGTCGTAGTTTAATCTTTATTGTTTCCCTCTACTGCTGAATTTGGTGCCCAACTAAACCTACCCACGGTGGGCAAGATAAGATATGTCTTTGAGGATGAAGATGTTGTTGATAATAGAATATACTTTGTACAAATATCATATATTACATATATACTTGAACTATATATGAAGCAAGTTGATTGCCTCTAATAAGGATTTGTAACATTCTGAGTATCCTTTTTAGTGATCTGAGGGCATGGATATGAGTTCTAATCTGAGGGCATGGATATAAGTTCTAGTCTGAGGTCATGGATATGAGTTCTAGTCTGTTTGTATCATTTCTAACTCCTTTGCGATTGTTTGGGTTTGTTTCATGATTCAGCAGGTATGTAATAAAATCTTTAAGGTCAGCCTGACCCTGGTCAGAGCCTGCTGTTTGATTGCTGCTGTCCTTCAATAAATCCAGTGACAATAAAAATAATACAGTGTGGAATTGTTGTTGAAATGATCATTCATTAATGACATCAGAATTTAAATGCAGATGCATATTTACAATTGTTGACATAAAATGTACCAATTATTATTTGCCAATATTCATCTTTATTAACACTGAAGAGTAGCAAAAATGAGTATCTTAGCACTGCCATGATACCTAGTAAATACCTCCAAGGTCATATTGTTGTGGTTTCACAACATGGCCCATTACCAAATCGTATTTCAATAAAGAATACATTACGTTGTTTATGTAACATTTATGGCATATTTGACATCCAAATGCGGCATTTGAAATTTTATTATATTATGGTCTCGATAAATATTGGCTGGCTCTGTTCTTGGTAACATTATAGAAAAAGATGTTATAATCCATAAAAATAAAAAATTGTTTATACAAAAAAAGATAAAATGTTTTAAAACCAGATTGCCGGTGTCATGCACTCTAGATTATCCAGGACCACCCCAAATGATATACCTTTTTGGAGAATTATGAAAATTACTTTACCAAAAATTAATCTTGATGTTGTGCAACCTAATATTTCCCTCAGTGAAAAATAATTGGAGTCTTTCCTTTAAGATTTTGATTTGCAACAATCAAATTTGTTTTCTACAGATTCAGGACCATTTGTGTTTTTGCTGCTTTATCCAAGATGTATTGATGTCTGTATATGTTATACAAGTAAATGTTATACAATCTAGGCTGCTTGTATTCTTTATTTGATTTGGAAGGTAAATAACGTCTTTGATTTTTTTTATTTTGATCAATCTAAAGTCAAATTTTAAAGAAAGATACCCCTTATATCCTGTTTGTATATGAAGTTCTTTTATTTATAATGATTAATTGGATGATTTATATGTCTGTATTTGGTGGTAACTGTCAATAGTTTATATATTTTTATGGCTCCTTTTTTGTGGGGAGGGGGTCCTGCTGTTATGCATGTTTGGTATATTTAAAATCCTCTCCACAGATTTACTTCATATGTACCCATTGTATCATAACGTCAAGTTCTTCACCTGATGAGACCCTGCTTTACATTGGAATTATTTTCTGGTTTCCCATCAGCATCTTAATTACAAGTATTGTAGAGGACAAAGTACGTCAATACATCAATGACTGGAAAAAAAGAGAAATGGTGAAATGCATATCAAATATGGTTTAATACACAAGTCTGATCATTGATCAGTTTGTTATAAGTAAAATAGAAATCAGTTTAAAATTTTGTCGGTCAGATTATGCATATAGATTTTGTGTTATCCGTTGTGATTGTTTTCATTGTTTAGCCAATATTTTCTTAAAAACTTGATACAATGTAACTAAGCCATGATTCTCCAATCAGTTAACCCACATCGGTACAAAAGCTGATGATTCACCAGTACCAAGGCATACTCTGGTATACCTCATATATTCCAGGTAGTTACTTTGAAACCTTTATATTCAAAATTGGTATATGATTAAGTTTGCACTTGAGCTTTTAGCAAATGTATGAAACGACATATCTGGTATTCTTATTTTAATGAGAAAATTTAAGTATTAAGTAAAAAATATTTGTTATACTAATATAATTAAAAGAAAAAAAAAGTGATAATTTAGCAACCTCTCTACTTTATGAATCAAAGTAAAATTATTTTTAGAACATATAAATGATATCAGTATCAGTGTTCTTCCTAAACTACTTCCACTGATTTAACCTTTGACTTAAGAAGTTATGCTACATATTATTTACATTTATGTGTTAGTGTGAACATCGTTTAACTATGTTTAAATATCAGAAATACTCTATTGTGTTCAGTGCATGCATTCTATTTTCCTTAATGATATGTAAAAAATCAAAGATAACATAATGAATCCTATCATTGTACCATGATTGATATTGTTTTGAGAAGGTTTTCTGTAAATCCATTGTTCTTTTCCTCTATTAACTGGTCTACATAATTCTACTTCTTGCAATAAAATAAACAATTTAAAGAAAAATCTGGGTGTCCATCCATCTATCTTAGACAAAAGTTCATGTAGACTATTTCTCTTAAACTAGGGCGTGGATTTCAAGTTTGTACTTGATTGACAGATGACATAATTGTCAACTATGCAATATATTTTCAAATTAAAAAGACATGTTTTGCAGAGTAATTCCTCTTTCTATAAAATCTGATATCC